TCCATGTGTTTGCTTGAGGTAAAACGTAATTTTGCTTTTCTCTAACTGGAATCTGTGATATATATATATATGTAGACATTGCTGTTTGCTATTATTACAGGTACAATACAGCTCAAGTATGGTGCTACTTCTGGGCTTATTTTTATTATTGCATTGCTGTGTGTACAAGCAAACTTGGAACACATAAAATGTTGATTTATTGTAGCCCTTTTGTGCCTCAACATCCATATTGGTAATGTTTTTTGCATCAAAATATCATTGTAGAGCGTGGTGTTACTTGTCCAATAACAAATTTACGTGTACACAGAAACACAGTATGCAGAATCAGATCCTCAGAAAAAGCAACACCACGATCCCAGTTTGAGACTTATTGATAAAGCCAGCCATAATGCAGGTTTGGTGCACACAACAATATTCGGTTTTTTTAAAGGTCTCTTTTGAAGAGCACTGACAAATAAAGTGGATAGAAAGATGATGACTATTTCAAGGCCCACGCTGAAGGGAAAAAAGGCAGAGCTTTTGCTTGTGCTACTTCAGCTGCATTGAAGAGGACTTAGCGCAGATGGATTGTGCACTACAGAATGTCATGGATATAATTCAAGCTGCCAGCTTAATCAGGATGTTACCAGGAAACAACCTGCAAAAGAGAAGGACCAATTGTTTGCTGACCTTTGACCTGCAAGCCCATTATAGATTGTCATAAATTCTTTTTTTTTTCCTTTTATGTTGGGGGGCTCAGGATATCTGCTGGGTTTTGTAGAGAGTACAATGAGGGCCACCCAGCGCTTAATACTGAAGAAAGAGATAGGACCACAAAATCCACATGCATTAGGCATATATTTCTCATTTTGGAAGTATGAAAGACCAGATTACATACATCTCACTCAGTTATTTTGATTAATTGTTAAATGTATGTGTTGTAAAATATTTCTGTGTATGTAAGTGAAGCTATTATAATATGTGGTATCATGGCATGTAAGAAATGGCAAAGATAGTTGTAAAATATTTTTAAAAACAACAATTACTGTACTTTACTGAACATGATGACTGTTGACTATAATTTCTGAAAACTGCATTTTCAATATCTTCCTCTTATAATGAGTTTTCAGTCTGCACTTACACTTTCCTGTTCATTGTTCTGTGAAAATATAACAAAAACATTAAAAAGGCTGTTTAATCTTTATTTAAGAAAATACTTTACTGGCATTTAATTTTTGACATGCTTGATTTTGTTTATATTTGTAATTTGTCATGTACATTGTAGTTTACTTTTAGTTAGGCATATAAATTCTAAACAATAATATAGACAAATAATATAGACAATCAAATTGGTGTTTTGTTTTTTAACTTGCTGCACTGGATATCCATAGAGTTCTTTTGACATCAGTTTTCATCAGTTGTAACATTATTTCTAAACTGAATATTCATCTAGTGTTTTCCTTTGATCTGTTGTAGTGTTACCCATGAGAGCGTATCATTTTGTCTTCTTTTAAAAGGACTGACAATGACAGGACTGAATGGAGTTGTGGGATATTAGCCCTTCTTTGTGTAAAAGATTATGATGCTATTAATGTTGGTATTCAGATTTATTTTGGTCTATTCACTACTATTTGTTGCTTTATCTTAATAAGTATCGACAGAAGTAGTTCTGCCTTCAACTGGTGGGTTTACATAGAGTAATGCAGAGAAGACTTTTACAATTTCCTGAACAAAAATGTTGACCTCCTGGAGGTTTAAGACATTCAAAGTTTTTTTTTATTAACCTAAAATGAATAATTAAATCTAGTGACTAACACAGAATAAGAAAAATTCCTATTTTAAATTTACTTTTTGGTAGAAGAATGGACATTCTTCAACAGTGCAAATGTACTGTGATTTCATTGGAGGGGAGTCCCCATTACCTGTAAAGTGCTTTGAGTGGAGTGTCCAGAACAGCGCCATATGGGTGTAAGCAATTTTTATTATTGTCTCTTTATTCTGTACGAGTATGATTAAGGAAGAAGGAAATTATGATAAGTTTTGAAATGAAGTAAACTTTTATTGCCAGCAACTCTGGAACGTATTAGCTTCAAATGTAAAGTTCAGATAAAGTTTGATGTAGAATTAATTAATTAAGTTTTCCTACTTGAGGCTAAAACATTTTGAGGAAAGTAACTAGATAAATCACTGTAAAAGTTGAACTAGCAGGTCAAAAAGTAAAGATAAAAAGTGACTTATTAAAATAACTGTAATAATTATTTCAAGAAAAGCAAATGTTTACCTATAGTTGGGCTTTCTTAGGCAGGAACTGCTTGCTGCAATGTTCATGTTTTTCATGCAAGCTTACACACTGTATACACTTGGCAAATTGCAGTCCTTCTCTAGAAGAAAACTATGGGACATAGTTTCTACATAGAAATTACATAGAAATTACTACTGAAATATGCACAACTAGATAATTTTTTCTTGCTGCGGATTTTTTTTTACCTGAGTTTCTCCTACATTTATAAAGTGGAAAAAGGCTGAGCTTGACAAAGGAACACAAGAAAAAGAGGGGGATTTATGTTGACTTAATGTTATATCTTTGAGACAATGTATTGAAGCACTAAAAAGGACAAACAGTGTTAGGTTAGAGAGTTAAAAGCATTCATTTAAATCAAGGAATAGTTTTTTTTAATCTCATAACTGTAGTAAGGCCTAATTTCAGATAGTTCTATTCAGGGTGATACACAAAAGATATTGCTGCTCTGGAATCTGTTCAGGGAGGATCCATCACATTCCTGGGCTCAAAGGACTGTCCTGCTCTGAGAGATTAAAAGGACTGAATCTTGTTCAGTTGAACAGGAAAGATTATGGAGAGGATCTGATTCAAGTGTTCAGAATCCTCAGAAGCATTGACATAGTTAACCCGATGGACTTCTTCAAGATCAACAATGAAATAAACCTGAGGATAAAAATGGCAAACTAAGTGGAAGGGCATTAAAACTGAGAACAGGAGGCACTTCTTCACACAGAGATCTGTTGATATTTGGAACAAGATGCCCAGCCATGTTGTCAGAGCAGATATCCTGGCTTGTTTGAAGAAACAGCTGGGGCAGATTTTGGAACCATTGGTTACTAGGCTGGATGGGCCAAAGGCCTTCTCTTTTTTCATCTTGTTCTGTTTTTGTTATGCTTTTTGCATCTTCAAAACATCACGATATTTTAAGATAATTCAATTAAGATTTTTATGAATGAAGTGCAGTCTTTTCTAGACAAGAGTTCACAACTTTGTCAGTGAGATATTTGTTGAGTAGCTCTTGAAATAGAATAATATTCTAGATGGAATTGTGGCTCAGAGATGGGCTTTTCCTTCAGGAAATATTTGTTTGCTATTGTTATTTGTTGTTCAGTTTGAGTAGCTTTTAAAAACGTCAGTGATGGCAAGGGTTTTGAAGTGAGCTCAGATAATACCTAACACACATAAGGTCACAGGTTGTAATCAGTGCTGTTTTCTTTTACTTCTCTTTTTGAACCTTTACTAAATGAGATAATTTCATAATTTTCCAAAATGCAGTTCAACATTTTTTTTATTTTTGCCTGCATTTTACCACTGTATTATAGACCATTGTTAAAGACAGATTAAATGTCACTTCTTTGCTCAAACTGACAGAATGTCTGATTTGATAGCTGCCTTGCAGCCGTCTGCTGTTTCTCTGTTTGGAGTTCAAAAGTCTTAAAATAACACCTGGGATACTCTCAGTCAGCCTCTTGTGACGCCTTTACATTGGAGATAGGATTGCCTAAGATTGGCTTTGAAACTTTGCTTCTGGTTTGAAATAAAGCCTTGAAATGTCTTAACGTGTAAGTGTTGTATGATGTTACAAGTTCCTTGAATACCTGCCTAAAAACATGGAGCAAAGTTATTGAAATTTCCAGTATGATACTGCTTTTGTTGAAATATAGGCTTAAATTTGAATCTTGATATCCTTGGAGCATTAAGTTCCAGTTCTTATTTGTGGTGTTTTGAATCCTTCTCTATAATCATAGATTTTTTTCTATATTTCTGACAGCTTTTTTCTTTCCTCGAGAATACTTTGATGTGTTTCATAAAAGTGTAGAATAAAAATAAATCTTAATTTCTTATGTAAACCCATGTAAATTATGACTTTTATTCTAGCTTTGCTCTGAACTGGATAGAAACGCAAGACGTGGTGATTAAAGGCAATAAGCAGGTCAATCACATTTCTTAAGCCAGGGGACAGGTTATGAAAATAAGGTCCACGTAGTGAGGTAATCACCTCTAAATGAAGACCTTGCTTCATCTTTCTGACTGTTGTGTGGATTTCTGTGATTGTCAGAAATCTCCACCCTCCTGTTCGGAGCGTTTGAACAAGTGAAGTAATCTCACATGTCCCTCACCATGAAAACAGCCACAGCGGCATCCCAGGTGACAGGAGTGACGAGGATGGGGCACAGTAACTGTTTAACTTCCTTGACCTGGCCCTGTTGATAACACTTAGCCCTCACATTAGGACAGCCTTTCTTTTCGGGTTGGTAGGAGGTACCTATGAAGATAAAAACACTGCAGTACCTCCATCTGACTCTTCAGTCGTTGATTAATTTTCTTTTCGTCTCTTTTCTACTTCTGAATTCACAGGCGTAATGCGAAACAGACTTTTCTGAGTCATTATTGAGATTACTTTCCTGTTTCTCAACCCACCCCAATCAGTGGCGTTTTATGGAACTGTGGTACTGGGAGTTTAAAAAAAAAAACATGCCAAAATAATATTTAGAAATATCAATATAAAACTATTATCTGTCAAACATCTTTTTGACCATACCTAATATAATTTCCTTGTATAGATTGATTTAAAAAAATCTATTTTTTATTGCATTTCTTTTGCCGCCTGAGTCAGAAATCTAGATTTTAACTGCAATAGGATTGCACATTTTATAGTAATTCTGCTAAAGCTTTATGATCAATATAAAATAGAAAACAAAGAACAGCAATTAAAAAGATTACATTTCACTGTTTCCAGTCTTTTACCTGAGGGACTCGTGCATTTAATGAAGAGCATAGAAGAACGACTGCATCAAAGAGAAAAATATCTGGAGCTCTATAAGACCATGTCAATTAGTAAGGAAAAGCTCAATGCATTGATAAGGTGAGATTTTTTTTTACTTATTCATAACATCTTCCTTTGTCTTGTGCGCTATGAAATAATCTCTAGTGATTTGATAAACTAGAGCCTTATCAGAATTTTTTATGACATATTAAGGATCTGGTCTTTGAAGTGATCTCACTTTATATCAAGTGTCATTATTTGGTATTAACAGCGTACTTACATTTCACTTTGGTTTCTAAGGGTTTTAACACCTACAATTCACATAGTAATTATATATTGGTCTGAATTATTACAGACATGACACTGGAAGAGGATATCTTAATTTCTCACAATGCAATGCATTTATTTAACATTTGCAGTGGATATGTATTTTTGAATATTTTATGATTGTCCAGATGAATTATATACTAGTTATATGCAATATAAGCTAAAAAAGAACATTCAATATAATGTACTGTACCATTGCAGTAAGTATCTGATTTTGTTAAAAGCTGTAGTTTACTTTTTGCATTTTAATACTAATTTTATTTCTTAATTTGTCCTCATGGTTAGGTTTTCTTCCTGCTTTCCTGTTTTAAGCTGAAAATCATTGATGGATCTAACCCATTGAGACGATTATTAATAAAAATAATCACAAACTTGAGGTTTCTATCTGTTGCGTTTTTGTGGAACTGTTATAAGTGCATTATTATCTCCTCAAATTACTTTGAAAATGAAGTCTTATTTTTTGTTGCAGTTTTGGGCTTGTTTCCATTCTTTGTTAATGGTGCAGGACCTAGGCTGAATGCATTAATTTACTGCATCTGTTCATTTTTATTGTCATTGTTAACATGCAGTCCCCATTTAATTCAGATTTCAACAGGAAAATTATAGAAGTACACAAGTCGTGCTTCTCTAGGTTTTATTCTTCAAAAGTATTTTTTTAATATTATTATAATTGTGAATGTTGTAATGCTGTTTCTGCTGGGGTGCTAACTACTTTAAAGACCATCGTTGGTCAGGGGTTCATCCATCTGAAAATGTATTCATAGAAAAGGCTTTCATGATGCACGTGTGTGTACATACTGCAGTAATGGTCAGTCAAGTTTTTTTTTAGTGTATGCATTGATGCACGTGTGTATTCGTCGATCAGCACATCCATGCACATGCATTTCCAACTGAACACCCACTGTATTAAAATGGAAAGCAAGGAAATACTAAGAGCACTGCGGTTGTGTTTAAATGGTCCAGAAATGGCCTTTGCCATATGTTTTCTTGAGTTGATTTATTTCATTCCTGACGCGCATCATTTGAATGGCTGTTGTGATCACAATCTTGACCAGCTGGCTCTGACTCTGACTCCATGGAAATGGCTCACACAGCTCTATATATTCCGCAGCCTTTGTAATCACAAGGCTTGCTTGAATGAAGAGGACCTTGAAGCATGTGGAGCAGTCGTCCTTCATCAGCTTCAGAGGTTGTCATGGAGCACGTCAAAGGGATGCTTATTACCCGAAGAGATAGTTAGCGGTAACTGGAACACTGTGGAGGAGAGAAAAATAAGGTATACCACTTTATATTAACCTGGAATCAAAATCAATTTGTTGCTTTTGCTTAAAATTACAATGCCTTTTTATTCTGTTTCGTGAAACGTTAACCACCTTCCTGTTTGAAATAAAAGATGAGACAAAAAACTATAACGCATAGAATGAATATAATTATTAAATGAACTGCAATGAATGGTGGTACTGCAATAAATGCAGTTATTGAATTGTGTGAGGTATGCTGTTGCCTAGCTTTTTATAAAAAAAATGTTTTTCTGAAAGCATTTTATTTACTGTATGTTTGAATTTTTTTTAATTGTTAGAAAAGTAATTGAAAATAAGTTTTTTAATATGTTTTGTTATATAAGTAAATGTTCTATTCTGTTTAAAGAATTGCACAGTATTTTTATAAAGGTAAAGATAAATGATATAACTTTATCACTGAAGATCATATTAGACCCTTTTTCCCTTATTTAATGATCTTTGCAGACTTTCAAATGCAGTACAGGATGTTAAATGATGTGTAACATTTAATAGATGATAGCTGTATTCATGCTGGAGAACTGATAGACTTCATTGCATCGAGTTAAAAAAACATTAATTGAAATGTGTAAAGACAGAATGAAGACTTTTCCCTTGCAGGGAAAGTAAGAATGATTTTTTTATGGAATTTCTTCATGTCGGGAAAGGGTAGAAAAAAGGAAACATTTTGTTTTACTATAACGTACTCTTTCTTCTCTTTGAGAAGTAAAGGGCATTCTTTTTCTTTCCACTCCTTTTCACCTGCAACATATAAGCCCTAAGGAAAAAATCATCGTTGCCATGCTCCTGTACCGCTGTGAACTTGTGTTCTCATACTGGCCCCTCGTTTGGAGGTCTGTTGGAAAGGGGAGATAATATCATTGATTTCCGAATTTTGCCTTTTCTGTCACCTTCCCCTTAGAACTGGATGTGGTGACTCAGCAGAGTAACTGGTCTTGACAATACTGAAGCTCCACTACCACCATCTGTTAGAATCTGCAGTGTAGACATATTGGTGGAAAGGCTCCCTCAGGTTTGCACATGAGCAGTTTTCAAACAACAGAAATAAAGAAATCACTGTATTTCTTGTGTATTACATTTAGGCCACCCACTGGAGCATTGTGCAGCTTTAGGTTACTTTTATTGCTACAGAAATGTGCGTTTTGGCTTAAAGCGAAAACTTAAAATTCTAAAGCCATCACAAAGTGACAGTTCTTTGAAAATATTATGGAATTCTTTATTTGTTATTAGGATGTGTACTGCTTTATTTCCCAAAGCTTCAAAGTCAACATAGAGTTCCGTATAACTTTTACTCAGTTTTTAGTTGAGTGCTCATTTCAAACATGAAGTGTAAGATTGTACATCTTTACATTTCCAGAATATTTTTTTATACTTACTGAATTCCATTAGTATTATTTATTAGCACTCTGTTCCAAATATTACTCCTTCCATTATTCAGAAGTATTTAAGTGCTACAATTAAACATTTGTAAATCACTTGCACACTTGTAGTATGATTTTTTACAATCTTAATATGACTAAACAATGTTTTGATGAAATTGATGCTTTTCCTCCACAGAATTCCCTTTGGGGACAATTCCCCCACAGTTTACAGTCTTTAGTCTGATTTCTGTATTGACTTCTAAACCTTTCGTTAAATATCTTAAGTTAAGGCATGATTTTACATATTGATAAAACATGTATTGTTTAAAGATCTGAAACTTCCTTGTAAGAATGTTTAGAGTAATCTGTGCTTCAGTTCTTAGTAAATTTAGAAATAATTCACAGAAGAAAATAACAAGGGCTTTCAAGAACAAATCTCTTAAAATCAGTGCAACACAGTCTCAGAAGAGACAGAGGTCCTAAATTATCATTGTAAAAGTCTTTACTAGGGAAAAATGTGACTATTCTGTATGAATATCTGACAAAACACCAATAGTGCATTTGAGAGTACTCAATGTAGAAAATATGGCCCGGTTAAGTTTAAACAAAGTAGTTCCACCTGAGGTGGAAAAGTGTGAAAAACATTTTCCAGAGTTTTGTTTTCTTTTTAAATTGCAGTATCTAATATATTATACAGCGGATGGAAATTCAGATATTTTGAAAGGCTTCAGGCACTGTCATTATTGTCTTATGTCTTTATGCCAAGAGTTATAATTACCGAGTTCTCATGTCTTTTATGTTATATGCAGGAGCATTTATCACATTTTAGGGATTTTGATATGCTTTTTCCTGTTTACACAGATCCTGTCTACCTCCAGATTCTGCATTGTTGTGGGAGTGTTGGTACAAACATGCTCTTATTTTGGAAGACTGCCACATTTTAACCACTGATGAGATAATTGATTTATTCACACCATTACTGGTTTCTGAAAACTCTTCAAATATCAGCAAGGTAAAGGGACAAACGTCAGTTTAAATACTCAACAGTTTATCGATACATTTTCATTAAAGGGTCTCATGGTTTAAGGTAAAGATTGGTGAATGAACATGAACAGTTCAAATAAATGTTTTCATGACAGCTGTGTACAATATTGGATCAAATGAAAAGTACATTATTTCAGACTGCGGTGTCAAGTTCATGTGATTGTGGAGTGTGATTAATCCTGTTTTTTTAGAATACAATCATTTATTTTAATGCATTTAGAGACAGAATGTCAAGTTTTATACATCATAATAGTGCCTGAAAAAAAAATACAAATATGTTGCTTTAGTATGTACAAGCTATATGTAGAAGGCAATTAATTATATGTGTTTAAAATTAAGCATGTGAATTAGAATAATTTCTAAAGCACTGACTTTTAATTAATTTATGTGGTTGACTGACTGCTCAATACTTAAAAGACATGGAAAAGGTAACACTTGTAAAACAAGATTCCTTGTTTCTGCTACGATTTATAGCATCTCATGAGTCAGATAATGAGACACTATAGGGTAGAAAGAACAAATTGTACTTATGTACTTTATAGAGTGAAAGCTTGTGAAAAAGGCCCAAAACAATAGCTGTACTTTTGTCAAGAAATGCGTTCCATTTTCACAGGATTCAGGGGAATGCCTACAAAACTGATACTCTCTTACTACATGGATCAAAGATTTCAGCAGCCAAATTTAACACAAACATGTTGGATTTGCAGTATATTGTAGTTTGCAGTATATTATCGAAGACAGCAATGTCAACAGCTTTTCTTTTCTGTATATGTAGCTGTTCTTTTCCCTACGTAAAGCTGTTGACCTAGATGAATATCATGCAGCAGAAATGTGAAAACATGATGTGTTAGTCAGGTGACCCAAAAAGTTTCCATCTGTTGGCCCATTTTTATTTTCTGATGGGTGGGGGTGGAGATCATGTGGTGTGCCTGGTTTCTAGATTGTGGGATTTAAGTATCAATGTGGGTTCGGAAATTTGGAGCATGAGATGCTCACATTGAGTTTCTGGATTTATATGATTAGTATGAAGGCCTAATGTCCCCATCACGTATGTCTGAAAACCAATGATGACAACACTGCAACAAAGTATTAACAAAACAGGCTTAGTACATTAGCATAGCTTTAATAACAAATTATAACTTTATTCACCATCTGCGTCACACCTGATGACACATGGAACATCTCTAGTGAAATAATTCTCTTTGCAAGTAAAGAGAAGGGGCTTTCACGATGAAGTGCACGAGACTTCACGTGGGCTGTATACCTGGTAATTTTAAATATTACCCTGTCTGCCTTTTCTGTTATTTGCATGGCAGTCATGGAAAAGTACCCTTGCTCAGGAAGATGAGAGGCTTTACATATAATTGCAAGGTATGAACTTTTCCCAAGCCCTTGTTCCTAACTCAGGAGAACACTGAACATCATTCTATAAAAATTGAAGGCATGTTTCAAAAGCAAATTCATTTTCATGCATGTAAACTGATCATTCCTTTGTAGACATTGTTTTAAAAATGTGTCACAATTGGAAGAACATAATTTGGAGTTTTTGTATATTCAGGAAGTTTTTAACAGCTTCTGTTACAATCAGCTCACATTAATGTTACAAAACAAAATCATAGTGATATTCAAGACTGACTTATTACTGTCTTATTTTGTTCACATGCCATAATGAAGTGTTTTCCTTTCAATGCTTTCCATAGCTATTTCACTCATACGGTGTGACAGAAGATGAGCACACAGATTTCTATGCTCACATATGTATTTTGGGGGACAAGATTGAATACAGCGTGATTACAGCAATATATATCTATAATTAAGCTAATTAAAACAATAATACTGTAAGACCTCCAGCCCGTGAAGTGAATCAGTCAATATACATTTATGCCTGGTGTTATGAAAAGCTGACTAGAATTCTGTAGAATAAAAGTGAATTGTATTTCACTTTTTTTAAATATATGACATATTAGTTGAAATGAAACTGCTGTATACAGTACATGATGAAACTGTGGATGAGGACAAATTTCACTCTATTTGTAAGGACTTAGGAAAAGATCTCTCCTGACATGATTACCAATGACTCTTTTGATCAATTTAGTGTTAGTATGGCATACAATATTCTGTTCATAATTAATGTAACTTAGATTATATTCTTCTATCTTTACGCTATTGTGATTCTACTCATATTTTTGTTTAAAGTATTAGGCTGTTTGAAGAGGTCTCTTACTAAATCCTTCTGTCTCAACATACCTGTGCTTTTTTTAAATTTGTGGAAATTATTTTAAATGGTAAGCCAGGTTTTGCTCAACAGAGAGAAAGAGAATCAGTATTGCATTTATCCTTAAGATTGTAAAAAGAACAGATTTTCATCACTTATTATCTTTTGAAAAATGTTTGTAATATGAATAGCTGCATTACAATTCCATTTCAGTCACACCTATACTAGAAGTAATTTAGTGATAAGATCGTGTTTGTTTTTATCCCAAAATATTTTATGTTTTATCTAATTTTCCTTATGACATAGATACCATTTTTCTGTTTATATTCTGCTGACAGAAGAATTGCAAATGAGGGGAGGCCATTTGACCCACCTTATACTATTACAATAGATGTGAAAAATATTTTATTTATTTTTACCAATATATTAAATTATACCATTCTTTTAGATTATGCTGATGGTGCTATGGAGGCAAAATAGTTGCAAACAGTTACATTTTATCTTCCAGACCTTTTCTTTAAAATGTTATGATTTCATTTGCTATTATTACAGGCTAAAGCTTTACTGAAGACACTTCTTCCACAAATGTCTGAAGGAAGCCTTTCTATTCAGAGTAATGAATCGTCTCGCAGTCTGCCATCAATACTCAATGACAGTTGTGAAATAAAACAAGCAAAACCTGCTCAATGGCTCTACAGTACTGTCATTGGGAAACAAGGTAATTATTGTTGCAAGTTCTGGCTGCCTTTGCTACAAATGGATTTCTATTGTACTTCACTGTTCAACAGTGAATGGCATAGAACTGTGGAAGAGATGTTTAAGACTGAAAAAGGAGGCTTTGAGCATTTTTATTTACACATTTAATTGGAACCATTAAAGCTGCTTTAATCTTTGATTATTTCTGCCAGGAGTCGTCCTCTCGCATAATAAACATCAGGAATAAATTTAGTACTAATTTCTATTTTATATATAGCATTTGTGCTTTGGGTGTCAGTAAGGATAAGTGAGAAGCTGCCAAAATCGGTAACCTTCAGCTGACTTTTTCAAATGTCAGTGTGGCCTGTCCCACAAGGGAAAAACATGGGGACTTGATTATGCTGCAAATGCAGAGATAAACATGAAAAGCTTTTCATTATGCTATAAATAGGACAGTCCATAAGTTCAGAAAGTTAGGAGCAACATGACAGGTGATGTTCTGTCTATACTTTATATTAGAGGTAGTTATGATTAAATAGTTTTTCTGAAATGCTTGGATGTTTACTAGTTGCACCTCTTAATAATGCTGAGACAGATCAGTGTATCCCACTGACTGCAGGCTTGATCATGATCGCAAATGCTAAAATATGCCTTTTTCGATTTTTTTTTATTTTAGATTTGGTGCTTAGATTTAGTGTTTTTTTTAGATTTGGTGTTGGTCATTTTTAAAATATGTAAAGAGTAATCACAAATCAGCAAGTGTAGCAGTATTTCAGACTGTAATAATGTTTAATATGAACAAAAACAGATGGTTAGAATTTTATAATACAAAACATAAAGAGCCAAAATACAAGATAATCTGTTTTTTGTTTTAGATTCCTGTCGCATTAGCTAGCAAGCTTTCATAGACGTAGTATACTTTTTGTTTTCTCAGGGGCAAAGTTAAATGACATCTTGAAATATTCTAACGTGCACACTCCTGCGTTTGTGTCACCTGCAGGATTGAATAGGAAAACGTGATTCCCATATTCATCATTTGTTTTCTGCAGCGATGGAAAACTACACCCTATTCTGAGTTTCTTTCAGTTTATTTCTTACAGAACTACAAAGTGGTGAAGAGGACAGCAAGGAAGAGAGCTTAGTGGAAAGTATTCCTATTAGAGGTAATAAGGCAATACAAAAACTTGCATTCTGAAATTGTCTGTGACTTTGGTTTTCCCTTTACAGCACAGAATAATGGGGGCTTTTAAATGTATTAGTCTATGTGGATGATCAAGGTGAATCTAAGGTCAAACTCCCACCTGAAGAGCTGCAGAGTTCCTCTAATTATCTTGGAGAAACAGTACATGTCTTTGCTGGTCAAAGCGTACTGAAACTGATAATTCGTGCAGCATAATGCTGTAGTTTAATTGTTAGGATACCGAGTATAGTAAAAGATCTGTCATTTGTTCTCATTATCTTCTAAACACTGCTGTTTAAAAGCAGACATCAAATGTTCTAACTTGAAGGCCTCCTGAAAGTATCCACGCTACTGGTTGCCATCAGAACCTCAGAAATGTAAAATTATCTATTACAGTTTGCAATCTGACTTCACACCATGCTTTTTATGTGTAGGCATCCCAAGGCGCAGAACAACAAAACAAGTAGTAAGGCCACAAATTGCAACTAATCAAAAGCAATATAAAATAAACAGTTTTCAACATAGTTGTATTAATATGAAAAGCATCAGATCTAACACGGCGGAAATTCTAATAGGCAAATGCAAAGCTACGAAAGAATAGTTATGTGAGAATGTAACTCTGTTATAAAATATTATTCCAATGAATTTATTTGTACTAAATCAATGGGCACATTATAATTCAGGATTTTGTAAAAGATTTGCATTTTCGAGGACCTTTAAAGGTTTACGACTGACAGTTTAAATGTCAATTTTTGGTTTATTTCTGTTGTATTTTTTAACGTATGTATTCATTTTTTAACTTAAAGGGCATTTTCCTCAATTTGCAAAAAGAATAAACTATAAGTAGGTGAAGTGTTTGAACCTTAGAGGTCCATGCTGACTGTCACTGCACACTGAGTGCCCATCTTCACAGAATGATTACTGAAAAGCTACGCTCAGTGCTGGAAATGGAACATTTCTGAAAGAAATGTCTTTTCCATTTGTAGTATGTTAATTTTTGTGACAGAGTGCTCTTGCTTTATAATGTCTCTGTATCAAAGAATGAAACAGTAAGTTGGGATGTTACGTCTCTCAAATTAAAAGTTAAAAACCTCTAACATTGTTATAGCTACAGTACAGTAAGTAGGGGTTTTTATTATCCATTTTGTTTTTGGCAGTTGAAAGCAATTACTGTAAACCCACTGGGTGTTTTAATTAAAACACAGTTATATTAATAATAAACCAACCCTGAATGTTTTTGCACGTTAAACAATCCTTAAAATCACAAGTCTGAAAGGCAGTGAACAATGCTTAGATATGCTAAGCATACATTGAACGTGTTAAGAGTTAACAATGTACGCAGTTCCAATAAACACATTCAAAGAATTGATCTCGTTCCTTTGTGTCTAGTGAATGGGATTCACAGTTTAAATGAGACCTATGTCTTATTTAAAAAAAAACAGTTGTCAAAGCAGAAATAAATTACATCTTCATGAAAAATAATATTTGAAAAACAGATACTGTGGCTGGTGCTTTTGATATTACAAACTTTCGTGAAAACTATTGCTCCCTTTAGTTTATGTGCCAGTATGTTAATCAGAAACCTCCAAGGTTAAAAACTATAGGATGTTGTTTTACCAGATAGGGCGATTCTGAATGTTAAAAGCCAAAGCTCAAAATAAATATTTAACTGGAGAATTTTATTATTTGGAATAAAATAACTCTATGTTATTGTTTTTAAAATAACAGAGACTAAAGAATATCAGCTGCTAAAACAATCAGCCGTGCAACATGGAAGACAGACTTCTATAGAAGAAGATGGTCTATCGGATACGGAAATGTCAGGTATAGAGACAAAAGATTCTGCATACAGCTTTTGACTAAACCTTTGGTCACAGGAAGCATATATATTTTATATTTTCAAAACAATAGTTATAAGCCCTGCCCTGAATAATTCCCTGCATTATATAGTTAATGTACAGCTTTGATGACAATATTAAACTAATAATATGGATCAATATACTTCATGATATGTACAGTGCAGTGTTGTTAATGACTCTAGAAGCCAGATCCGTTGCATAATTTTTTTGTGTTTATGTATCTTTTACAAAGGACTAACACATGAAACTGTTAAGAAGGAAGAAGCATTTGAATCAAAAATAAATTCTACCAGTCATCAGGAAAGTCCTCTCTTTGGGTAAGACACTCCTTCATTATCTGGTTTGGATTTGATTCTGAATAATGCTTTGAAAATATCAGTGTCATATTTGACATGTCACTAGGGCCATAATAATGACAATTATGTTAACTTGTCCATAATCTATGTTTTTTCTTTTTGAAATTGTGTGTTTGAGTGTTATACGTTGTACCATGTTTTAGGAATTTGTTTGCTCTTTTTTAAAGTCAAACATGAGCTGGTTATTCCAGCAACCAAACCTGTCTGTCAAAGTCATCCAGGAATTACAGTACATTTCCCTTTCGCTTAAATCCTTTAATTACCCAGATTGCTTTGATTTTCTTTTTCATTTGTACAGCTGGTTTTACGTATTTAAATTTTACTGTATCAGTTCAGTGTTGTTTCTGGTTCCTACCCCTCAGTTTGATCTCCTTTGCACTTTGTTTTGAAGATAGCGGATGTCAAGAAAGTCATATTAGTTTGTTAATTAGGTACATTTTAGCTATCCAGTACTGTTTCACTTTAATCATTTAACTGTGTGTTATTCCATCAGATTTAAACAACAAGCTTCTTTTTTACACATAAAAAATGTAGACATGCCAAATACACTTGCTTAAACAGAGTAATTCAACTATTCACTTATAAGGATGATGAAAACATTTGATGTTACATTGATGTTTGAGATGTTTATTGAATTGTATACCCACTGGGAGAGCATGCAGTAACTTAATATTTCTTTATTAACTGTATCTGCAAAATTTTGTGATACAGTTTAGTTAATATTGTCTTTTACCCATGTAAAACAGAAAACTATAATGATATGATTATGAAAGTAATGCAACCTACATAGATAATTTAGGCAAAGGAAAAGGAATAATTTTATAATTTTAATGCATACTTTTAACCACTGTACACACCTTCACAGGATTACTTTTTTAATACTAGAGATTTTACAAAATGCATTTTCAAAAATGCATAATTTAGTGTTTAAAAATAGACATTTGTATTCTTTCATCGATGATGGAACATCACAGGGGCTCTCTTTGTGAGGGTAATGGATAACTAAATATTTTGAAAAAAATCTTTGATTTCATACAATTACTGTGCACCATGCTGACAGTAGGATGACATTGAAGATGGTATTTACTTCAACGCAAGAGTGTGTCAGAATATACTTAGGCTTTTATAATACGTTGACTAATGTTGCTTTTGGAATGAGTGCAGTTTTCTTAGGTGTTTTCTTTGTGGGATCTTTATCAAATCGTACAGCAGATTGCAGTAACCTTGTTCGCCTTAGTGTGAGTGGAGAAAACAAGTGTAAACATGCAAGCCATGGAAATATTTTTAACAAGTTTAGAATTACTGTGGTATAGCTGTAGAATAAAAGGACCTGGTAGCAATACATGGTTACAGACTCTTGACATCAATTTTACAGAGACAAGATTAGCTGTTTTAAAATAGACAGAGAAGCTTAAAAGAGCTGAAAATAGAGAACTCAGGTGCAGTCTTCTCCTTTGTGGTGTGCACACAGTGAAATTTTTCAGATGCTCCCATTTAAGCATTCCACTTACAACAGTCACTTCTTGCGCTTTATTGCTTCTACAAGTGGTCTCGAAGCCCAGTACTTGAGCATAAGCATAACACTGCTGTATGTACTGCCGAGTTTCTCTGTTTTTTTAATTATTTGCTTTATTTTGTCAGTGAGCTGATGAGTGACATCAAAAGAAGCTCTAGCTGGACCCAAATAAAAAATGGCTTCCTCTGTTGTCTTACAGACAATAATTATGATGTGCCAGTTAAGCCTAAACTACAGCTGAGGGATTTTAGTTTAAAGCAGAGGCTTTGGCGCAAAAAATGCATTTATAGCTCTTTGTGTGGCACCTCATTATGTGTGGGCCCGATTCATTAAGTAATTGGTTTGCAGTTGTTTACATGAGTATTAAGGCTTTCTATTCAGCAGCCTTTGAGAGATACATTGTGCAAATGTTGCATGTTATGAATGCAGAATGAGAAGCAGGGGGCCAGTCCCATTGGCCAAACACTGCACTCAGCTGAAAAGCAAGAGAAAGGCATTGGGTGCTGCTTTGCATAGCAATGACTCCTTCTTAATAAGCTTTACAGATTAAATACATGCAGTCTATACAAGATGCAAAGAGATACTCTTAACACATTTATATGTGCTCATTTCACTATTATGGTATTGGAGATGGGAGAGAATTGAGGTCTTTCATATTCAGGGTTTTTTTCAGAGCAATGTTTTGCAGCGAGAGACTTTATAGAATGTGCTGTTTATTGTATTATAAATCATGGGGATGTAGACAGATCTGCAACAGTTTATTAAGGATTCATTCATTATAAATCTTTTGCTGCTATTGTACACTCTGAAGCAAAATCATTTTGTGGTTGAGTGGGGATGAAAGGCATAACGTATGAAGGAGTGAGTCTTAATAAGCAGCTGCACTCCATGTTAAGGCCACTTGTTCCCTTTTGTTTGGAGGTGGATGCCACAGCTTCCTCTTGTCCAAGAATCATTGTAGTGTTTTACTGTAGGCATCTCAGATTGTTTTTGTTTCGTTTTTTTAAGTTCTTTTTTTCCCCCCATTATTTTCACTATCAGTCTCTGTGCTAAAACAGAATCTGCTTTAAAACCTGCTTGACAAAACCTTGACTCGACAATCTGAGGTCACAGCCTGCTCTACAACAATAGGATGTCTTCAGGCAATTGCCCCCCAATCACTTGTAGGCAAAGTGTCATCAGCAGAATGTGGACTTGTGTCATGAAGTAGCAAGGAGAGCGATGTGTGTGGCATTTCTCCTGCGTGTAGCAGTGAGAGTCACTGACCAGAGGAGGTCACTCTCTTTCTTTTCTACTTTCCACTGCTCGCCATTCTGTTCATTAAACTGCACCGCAACACTACGGTTTTAAAGCCCTCAAACGATACAAATCATTGTTATTATTGTTATTTTGAGTACATTTTAAAACAGATTTTTTTTAAGCAGACAAGGTCTACTGCATTATGTACAGGTATTATTTATTGTGCAGGGCTATTACTGCCTTAAAAGTTATTGTATGTAGAAAATTGAGAATTAGACTTTGTCTGTTTAGTGTCTGTCTGTACAGAAGTTCCTTAACCTACGTAGTCAAGGTTAATGAAGGATTATCTTAGTAGAGACCATCATCTGCTCATGTTATGCTTATGTGTGTGTGGGCATGACTGTATGAAAGCAACAATAGGTCTAATTACATGTTTATTTCTATTTACATGTCAGAAAAATAATGAGACTGGAGATTTATTTGATCAACTTTCTTCCAATATAGAGATTCTGACAATTTAGTTTTGGGACCGGGGTATTTTGCTTGGAGCTGGATGTCTCACAGATATAAAAATATGGAAAATAAGGAATAAGAGTTGAGACTGCCATTGATCTGTGCTAACAGCTCACAGACATAAAGTTTACCTTTATTTAAAATTCAGTTATTTTTGTTTTTAGCATATGCATTTACAACTGTGACTTAATGAAGAACAGAAAAGAAATATGTCGATATTTCTAAGTTGGCAGAAGCCTTTTACCATTTCAGTAGTTTCAATAGATGTCCTTTTTTTTAGTACTTTGTATTATGCAGCTTTCAATCAACATAAGTATATATCTGGCCATGGCAACCTCTCTCTGTGTGATCACAGGACTCATGAGTAACAATTCTTTTTGCTATTTTTAATACATATTTCAAAAAGGAAGCATCATCTGTCATTTATTTTCTCAAATTTCAACATTTCCTTAGGGTTTCAGTTTTTAGCGATGAATATGTGCTTCAGTATGTGTTCTTTAGTGATATGCATTTGCCAGGCTTACATTGGAACAATATTAAACATGGCAGAATAAATACTGAATATACAGTATACATATAGTCAGTTACAAAAAATTACTGCAATCCATGAAGTAAAGGTCATCATAAATGTCCATGAAATACAGTTCTTAAGAAAATGTGGATTTTTAAAATATCCTATTTAAAATCTATTTCAGATTAAAAACATAATAATTGATCAATTGTACTTCATTTTTTCCTCACTTTCCTGATGTAATTATTACCCCCTGATAATAGAGTGTAAATTGCTCTCTGAGAAGGCAGTAGGCAGCTTTCAAAAGATGAATTGAGAAAAGATAACAATATGAAAATCTGGAACAAGGCAACATTTGATTGTCCAGTTCGTTTAAATGAAAGAGTGTGAATGGAGTTACCATGGCATAGAGGAAGAACATAAAATATAATTATTGTGTGTGCATAAATACCCTTTACAAAGAAGGGGGTTCTTTGCAGGCTAGTTGCAGAAGAGTTTTTTAAAGTTTTCAATCTAAATGCAACCCTTAAAACAGAACATTTGTTCAGAACGAGTTTTGTTGTTTTCTTTTGGTTTTAAAACATCTTATTACTGTATATCACTTTTAATTGATGACCAATGTTTTATGGCAAAAGGGCAAGATGATTATCTTAATTTACTGGACATTTTTTTTCAATTCAGCGATTTAGCAGAGCCATGATAAATACCAACATCAGAAAAAGAGCTCTATAAAAACAGTGGTAGTGTGGAACAGGGCTGAGAAACTGTAAACTCTGTAAGAGGACGTGTGTAAAATGAAAAAGAGGTGAGAAAAGAAGGTTTCCAGCATGATAAGGTGGTACTGGTTGTCTTAACTAAACAGAAGATGTTACAACATAGTATACATTAATTATTTAGTTATTCATCTTCTGTATTAAATCGAAAGCTTTTATTGGACAGATTTGACTAGATCAAAAAGAATTCAGGAATTCATGAAAAATGCAAAGATATGAAATAATTGTAAAAAATAAAGATGTGCTGCTAAGCACGTGACAAGATGTCTAGTGTGCAGTATGTGCAACTGATTGCTAAGTGTGTATTTTGAGTGTATTTGATGAGGGAAATACTGAGGAAATGTTGTTGAATTTATTTTTGAGAATATTTTTAGGTTAACAATGTATGCTAGTTCTTCCTTTCTTAATTGTTTCATTAAAATATCCCCAAAATATAACTGCTAGTTTGTGTAAATATTCAGAAATACAGTACAGTTAATTATTGCAGCTGGCTTAACAGGGGGTATATAGGTAGCTACACAGGCATAGATGCATACATAGATTAGTTTGAAATATAAAAGCTAGTTGCAATAATTAAGCCTATTTATGCATAACGCTGCTATTGAAGGCTCTTATATTAGTGCAGTAGTCAAAAGTTTAAAAGCTAAATTCAACCCTTAACAGAACACTTGTTCAGAACAATACTGTTCATATCTGCAGTTTAAAAGCAGACCCTATTCAAATAAATTAAAAAGAAAAGTCACTGCGGCTACCCACCTGTGTTTTGTGACCGATAAGCAAGATGACGGTCTTTGAATGCTTGATCAAAATCCCAGATGCGTTTCTCAGAGTGTGACTGCTGGTGATAGCAGCCATTCAGCAGAGACTTTAAAACAGCTGCAGCTGCCCCTCGGAGCCAGCAGGGGTCACTAACACTTTGAAAAAGCCGAGAAAGGCCCAGTGCATACCTTACAGCCTACTTTTAAGTGATTTTAGTGAAGCAAAGCTCTAACGTTTGAAACAGTCCAAAACTGAAGCAGTCTGCTGCAGGTCATAACTGGGACGGGAGTAGGAGTTGATGGGAGTGATGGGGTGCCCCCTTCTTGCCTTCCACACAGCGTGGTTCTGGAGTGCTTGCTATTAGCATTTTCATGTGGGTGTGAGGGGCTTAAAAAAGGGAGGGTAAATAGAGGCAATAATTTTATCAGGTTGCACTAATTACACATGAAGTGCTAGGTAAGTACTATTTTAATAGATTGTCAACCTTTTTAGCTTCTTTATTCCCATTCTCTGTACATAATGTTGGATTTCTGTTCCAACGTCACAAGACCCTAATCTTCCGTTTCCTTCAGCATCAAGACGTAGTGTTAGCGGTTAACACTCTTTCCATTGTTAGGTCATTTACCAATGTTTTGCGAAATTGGGTAGTATTGTAGCCATAGAGTTAAAACATAGTTACAGGAGGAATATGCTTTTATTTATTAACTGTAAACGTCTGCCCTAATGATGTGCGTACTTGCATGAACACAAGTACAGTACATATACTGTGTCTCTCTATATGGTAACATTGAAAATTTGGTAACACCCTGTAATGTGAGGTTGGTAGAAAGAACAATGATGAATTGAGAACATTCTTCTTCAAAGTAATAAAATTCAAGACCTTCGTGTGTAAGTGTGATGTGCAGCCCAGTACTCATTTTTGGACTGGCACTTTTATCCAAAGCGACAACATTTGTACCCATTAATACAGTTGGGAATTTTATTTCACTGAGTGAAATACTTTGCCCTACCTGAGAGTTCAACCCAAAACCTTATAGGTACAAGTACCTGAGCCCTAACCACAGCTGTTCTTTACAGAGTTTACAGAAGAGTGTGCTTGTTGCATGACACACAACTGAAGGACATTGCATGTTAATTGTGCTGCTAACTCTGAACACAGTATCTTTCCTCTATTAAGAACATAAAGAAGGTTACAAAGAAGAAGAGGTTATTTGGTGCATCTGGATCATTCAATTCAACTTTATTGTCATTAAACTTACACAGGTGCATAGTATAATGAAAAGTGTTTCTCATTAGTCACTCAGGTGCAGTATATAAATAGGACAGAAGATAAGACAATAGACAATTACACAATAGCAATAACAGTAACATGTAATAACATAACATAAATAACATGTAATCAAGTAATCATGTGATCTAGTGTTGATCTCATCCAGCCGTTTCTTTCAAGAAGACAGGTTATCAGCTTTAATAACGTGGCTAGGTAGTCAAGAATCCAGAATGGCAAAGCCTTTTGTGTAAAAAGTCTTCTTCTCGGTTGTAAATGCCCTTCCCCTTAGTTTCTGTTTGTGACTTGTTCATTTTAAAGTGCAGTTTCACCACAGTTTAAGCAGTAGCTCAGACGTTTTCCTATTGATACATAATTTACGGGCAACACACAAATAGTCTCCTGCTGTACAGCATTTTGTGTGTAAGGAGGACAAATTAGGGTGCCGTCATCCCAGTAGTCAGAGTGAATAACTACAGGCATTGCTCCCAGTTGCTCTGAATGTTTTATTTACTGATTTTTTTCATGTAGTTTTTTGAAGAAGCTAACACACTTAGTCAACACAAATTATACTTATGTTCAAACAAGAACACGTTGCCACCATTAAATCAGATTTGAGAACATTACTTAAAAGAGACTCACTTCAGATTTCTCAAATGTGTGAAGCAATGCCATTCCTATATGTTTTTCATTAACACATTTCTTTTTAAAAAATTCTCACAAATCTAACAAATACTGCCCCAAAAAAAGTTTCCCCTCCCCCCACAAAGTAAATTCAGGGAGTTATGTTTAATTTCTTGATGAACATTTTTTCTCTATTTGACATTTTACTGAAATGGCTGTTTTTACTTGCATTGATGAAAATATTTGAAGAATTCTCCCAAAACTGTGCAAAGTGCTGTATCTGTAAAGAATGTATTATCAGCATTTACTGAAAACTGGCTTTAGTGTGTGCTCTACAAGTGTGTAGATGTGATTTCTAAATACTATACAGCATTATAGAAATGTTCATCATATTGTACAGTACTTTCAGTTCTGTTTTTTTTTGGACTGCAGAGCTCAAAATAGAGACAATTGCAAGTTAATATTCATATCATTGCTTCACATACATAATGTAAAATTTAACACATGATGAACCAGCATAAATGTTTATGGAAACAGAGTATTAGATTTAAAGGGTCAAAGCCATTTTCAGCTTTCAATGGTAATAGCAAAATCTTGAAATCAGCCCGATCATAAATAAAGTGAGACAGCTGATATGTAATTTCCATGTTCAAGAAAATAATGAATCTACCCTTTTGCTGGACCTACTGTATAACTACCTGAGAATGACCATTTTGAACGACCATGTAGTTACATTTTTTTCATTTATTCATATTTTTATGTACCATCTTATTGTGTGTAATTCTTGCATGTGGTTCCCTGGTAATCACAGTTGAATGGTCACTGAGAAAAGTACCAGGTTTTTTCATGAATAATGATAACAGTCTGTTAAATATGAAAAGGATATATACTGCCTGCTGTGGTGTATATGTGATACACAACAGGCATTCTTTGTCTTTGTGTTTGGATGTGTATATATACCATGTACTATAAATAGAAGAGGTAATCAAACATATATAATGTATAATCATTGACACCAACACATATCCATTGAAGTCTCATATAAATTATGACAAAATATAATTTATTTCTGAGAAAATTAGTAGTGTAAACAATGAGATCATTACTTATACTGTGGGCACATCTAAGTACAAAAATGATTAAAAAAGGCAATTTTACTGTACATTGCTACACAAATATGGCAAAAACCTTTTATATTCTTAGAATGGCAGCATGAGCAATTATGGAGAAGTACAAGCAGGCAAGTGCAGCCAAGACCCTCTACATAAACACCAAATAAAATACAGGGTGTGTGCAAATAGGGAGGATCAATAGTTCAATAGGTCCACTGAACCAGTCTCCAGGGACTGCAGAAAGGGTGCAGTGGTACCTGAACCAGCAGGGCATCAGGACTGTATTGCATTGCATTGTATTGTGATAATGTCAGCAGAAATAACTAAAAAAACTTTAAAACGCATGTGTAGAAAAATGATGAGTACTTTGATGAATATTCATTAAAATTACATTTTTTATTGATAATTTAAATTCTTTATGCTGTTTTTTTATGTAGCTTCAATGCATGAGATACCAAGAGAGTATACCAGATGTAAAATAATATATTTTACTGTGAATTTAATTAAAGTATTTGATTATGCACTTTTTTCCTTCCAGTTTTACTTATTTCAGTACATTTTGTATAATTTTGACTTCTTTGTTACAGGGTTAAATAGATTTATTTTACATATACAATAGAGAGTTTGCCTTGACCATTTAAATATTTGAAAGAATGTCTTCCAATGCTTTTTTAACTCACGTCAAGTAAGAAACATACTCTTCTTATGTTTTGATGATGCAAAGCAAATGTGATATTTTTATTTAAACGTGTCTCTCAAAACCAGCTGAACCAGTAACTTTAAACATTTTAATTTGTATTGCTTCTGTACATACGTGGCATTTGGACATAGCAGAAAAAGGGCACATCGATATAAGATGAAGGGGACACATTGTAGGGATTTGAAAAGGCCTTGTGATGATGTAAATAGAAGAAGAGGCTTTTAAAAGCAGAACAGACTGCTGCATATGCATCAATGCAGATCAAAGCCTGCTCAGGGGTCATGCATTTACATAGCGATATCACTGATGCTATGGGAACCCAGCAACCCTGTTCTTAGAACACTTGTAAATAATGAGAGTCTTGTGGAAGTCCTTTAGTACTATTAGAACAGAAGTCAATGAAGTTTCTTGGGTTTATGTCTACACATAAAGGGCTTTACATATAAATCTTTTTCCATGAGAATTAGTCCAGAACTGAAATTGGGCACTTTTCCTCCTCCTCGAATGTAAGAAAAATACTTTGCTTCATTGTTTGCAATTTTCACATTTTGGGGGTGTTCATAAGAACCATGTTTTTTTTTTGTTACCATTAGGGATGAAGGCAAGAAGAAAACAATTTCTGCTGTGAAATCTAAAGGTGAGTCTCATAACAAACTTCAATCTTTTTGTTAAATTGCTTATGAAAATCATATCCTAAAGAGTAGTTTAAATTGTATTACATAAATATGCATATACAGTATGTAGTGCATACTAATGAGTTACTTTAGACTGTTTAATTATACTATAGAATTACTAGAATTCCTTCACCATCTGACATTTAAATAGTAAGAAAACTCAAAATCAAATCTGTAGACTGAAAACAGAATGCGTACATTTGAAGTATGCACATAATCAGTTCCTTCTATGAAATGCACCACCTTCAGGATGGTTAACAGCCTGTAAATCATCACTAACTACTATATTGTATATTTCACAGGAACGTTGATTATAATCAGAATAGCCAGTTTTCTCACTGTTTGTTTTCATGGCTGGTTTTGTTATGGACTTTCTTGTTGCTGGTAATATAATTTATTCAGCTTTCTTATTTTGAAAGGGAAGACAGAAAAACTCATTACACTGACTTTGACACTGATTATAATGTTGCCGACACTCAACTTAATATCACTGTCCCTGGCCCAATTTAAACAACAGCAGGCCAAACAATGGTACTAAAGGCAACTGTAGTTTGAAAGTAGTAACAAAACATAAGTAGTCTCATATGTTTAAACTATTCATCTGGGGTGACAGTTTTTGTGATTCAGTTAGCAAACTGTACATCTAGCTCAGTATTCCTGTTTTCCTCCATTTAGCCCTGTGCCACATCCCATGCCCGTGGCTGTAATATGAGTGCGGGTTTCAGTGCAGACCCCTTCGCTTGTGATTTATTTCACTCCACAAGCCCTGCCTGATAAGAAAACACATATTTTACTAGTAAAGACAACAAAACAGTTGAGACTGAGGAAGCTGAGAAGAAACACAGCCAACACAGTTATTATTTCTATAAAAATCGTACGTCTGTTCTCGATCTCCAATTATATCGTTTTCATCTGAAATATGCCACTTTAAACTATAGGCCTAAATTAAAGATATTCGGTTTTATCAATCAGGTTAAAAAAACATGTTCTCTGTGTCTTCTGAAGTCGTGGAGCTGCACAGCACTTTATAGGTATCCGTCTGATCTGAAAAAATAGTCAATTCAAGCATTCAGATGTTTTAATCTCCGGAAAGTAACCAAGTAGTGGCTCACAGCAAATCTTACAGTAAACGTTGACTGAGCCGTTATTATTTTAACCAAAATGGCTTGTAAAGCTGCTGCCGCCTTATCCCTGCGCAACGTGTCCCGCCGCCTAGCAACATGCGAAGACGGCCCTCGTCCCTGGACGCTGGTTAAACACAGAAATGATCTTCTGCGAATGGCTAATTGCGATGAGGTGGCCAGGTAGCGTTAGTGGTTGTGTGGGGAACTGGGAACTCCCACGAAAAAAACCCACACAAAAGGGCACCACCGTGGTCCAGACGGTGGCATCAGTCGTACTGGTTCCTAATGCCCTGAAAAACATTTCATATTTTACATTTTTTGTCCGTTATCTTTTCGAAATTCTGCTGAATTCTTTCTTCATGCCTGCCAGCACACCATTTAAGAACACTGATCCATTGTATTAAACAGCCTCTTTATATGCTGCTGATTCTTGACCACATTTTAAGGGGAGGCAATTTATAGAACTTGAAGTCTTATGTATACAGTTTGTCATCAGTGTCTCTGAATATGCAGTAAAATCTGATATTATTTGAACGTTGAAATGACAAATAATACATTCACATTGTTGATATCATTTTCTTAAGAAAAACTGTTTCTTCTTTTGAGATCTCTTGAGCACGATCTGTACTGCAGTTCTCCTGTAGGTGAATTTACTTGGCAGTTTTGCCAATCTGGTCTTTGCATTTGTGGGTCATTCTATCTGACTGAATGGTTGGCACACAATCTCTTGAGATTGTCAGTAGAAGTGGGTTATAGTTTAACTCAGATCAGGGGCAGGCATAATTTTAAATTGTATGTACTCAGTGGACATAGCATTAAGAGCATGAAAGTATCAAAATATTAATACATTTAGTTAAAAGAATATGAAGACTTTATTTTACCAATATTGGAGATTCACATTAAATTTCCCCAAACGTTGCTGTAATTTATGTATCATTGTGAGAATTATTAATTGAATTTGAATTTCTTGGAAGGGCAACCTTAAAATCTGTATTTTGCATTTCACTTTATTACACTTACTTGTTTCTTTTCTCTTCAGCTTTCTGGGGTGAATCAGATGACAGCAACACCGATATTGAAGCTGCCTTGCGTCCTCAAATTCACAGCACAAACAGTGACGACTTTGATGACTTCTACGACTAACTGTGTGGCTTAGTCAGACAGATTAATGAAAAAGGACTGTTTATTAAAAGTATCATTGTAATGCATTTTGTACGGTATCTTAATTACAATTATGTATTTAAATGAACAGAATATAAGAAATACACTTGGGTTTTCAGATGCATGTGTCTGATTTTTCTTTTTTTTCATATTTTTCAAAGTTAATATTAAATGTTAAAAAGTAAGGTCTCATACATTGTTAACAGTGCTTTATTATGAGCATTTTCCCTTAATAGTCGGTAACAGTTTGCTTGAATTTTAATATTGTAATGTACTTTGGTTCTGGTACACAAAAAGCAAAGGTATTTTTATTTCCCATGTTAAATATTCATTCAGAAAAATGAAAGATCTGGACACCTCATTAGCTTTAAACTAATGGTTCCCACAAGCCAAAACAAGGTCTCAGCATCCAGGTCCCAGCTCTGCCAGCAGGCACCTGTGACAGAGATTGTCTGAGCCGCAGGGTACTGTGCCCGAGGGCTGTGTGTAGCAGTTTTGAAAGTACATTTTTAGTGAAATACCCACTCATTCCTAATCCCTGCTGTTCTGGTATGAGATTTGTAAACCTGACTTCATGAACAGTTGTCTTTTCCTAATTAAAAGGGTACAATCACCATCTATTGCAATTTGTCTTCTTTTAGTGGTATAATCACAAAAAGCTGACATCAGGCATTTTCATATTTAAAAGTGCTCATTTAAATAGCTGCAATTTGGATATAAAAGAAAATTAAGTTTTTAATTGTAGAATTAAGCATGTCTTTATTATTGGAAATATACTGTATATTCAAATGAATGCACTTTGACCCTGATGTTAACCGTGTTTGAAATATTCAATCTAAATGACTTTTTGGATTGGAGATTAATAGATGAAGAGATTAAAGTTGTTTTTAAAAAGGGGATTGTTTTTAATTTTAAGTGTTGTGGAGCTGGTACCTAGGCTTTCTTCAGGAAAAGGCTGGATAATATCCTTGGATCAATTAGCTACTAATTGCCGACCAGGCCAAATGGCCTCTTCTCATTAAAAACTACTCTTATGTTCTTATGAGATGACACAATAAAATAACAGTTTTTAATCCAAGGACAGTGAGCCAAACACATTAATATTGTAATTACAATTTAACACACTATTTAGTGAATTGTGTAATACTCCATTTGAAGCTCTAATTATCCGTGTTTACATAAAAGAAACTTTCAATTTATTTTAATGTAATTATTGTGAAAAGGGCAAAACATTGAAGAAAATTCCAACTTTAACTGAATTTCAAAACTGACAAATACACACTCCGAACACATTATGCCAAAGCCACTCTATGTTGTTACATCTTTATAATATTGTTGGAGAAATTATACTAACCTAATATCTCTGTGCGTGCTGTACCTTTCTGATATTATAATCATCCAGCTTCTTAAAATCACGAGTATTGTTTATGGGTTGTTTTCAGTGAATAACTGTTTACAAACAAGACTTTTGGAAATCAGAAAATGAACCAAATATATGTTTTCGTTAGTCTTAAATACATTACATAGGTGTGAATTGCCAATACTTCTGGATAAAGACATTTTACTTAATTTTCAGAACACTAGAACACCATATAAATCTGAATGTTTCAATGTTCAAATGTTTCAAATTTCATTACGAATGTCTGTTCCTCTACTGTTTAAAAACTCCCATTGAGTTACATCTAAAAAAATAGCCATAAAGGCACTTGGAGTTCAGGTTGAGCCAATAGTCCAGACATTATAGAGCACAGGCCGTATAACGGTGTCTTGGCAGCTCAGTCCTAGTGCACGATATCTAGGTAAACTGGCATCTCTGAAGGGAACCTCCCCTTCCCCTGAATGCCGAACTACTAAAAGTGGAGGGATGGGTTTTCCCCAAAGCAGCACTGTACAATTGGCTGAGCATCTCGGGGTTTGGATGGACTCAGTTTCTCTTGGATATTGGGGCTACAGTGACACAGGTGCTTGCGAGGTACTGCTCCTGTCGTCAGTGCTACAGCCACAGCTGCAGCAGGTCTCCTGCAGGCCTCTGTGCAGCCTGTCAACTGAGTTTGTGACAAGTGGGTCTGTTGGAAAAGCTGATCCACAGGTATTCTTCCTCCCCAGGGGGTATAGCTAATCCTGTAGCTATAAAACCTAGATATAAACAATTAGCAGCGACAGGCTGCGTCAGTTTAAAATACAAAACTATGAAGTCTCTTCCCGTTTGGCACGGTTGATCGTTTAGTTGTATTCTTACAGTTTGTACATGCTCAACTGGGGTTTAAAACTGTAACTGAAAGGCCTATTGTCTTCTTTTTTTTCTAAACTAAATAGCCAATAAATTGATTTACCTAAATATTTTCTTAGATATATAGAAGATTTTTCTCAAGGCCTTTTACAAAAAGAATTGGCTGAGACTCCAGGTAGCAGTCCCTGATACAGTTTAGATTTTGAATTGCTGATTTATGTATTCTAGACAGTGTTGAACCTGTCCACTGTACATAAGACGTCCTGCTACCATTCCTGTGCTATATTTAATTTTTCTGAATCCACATCATTCTCTGATATGAAAAGCACTGGCATTCAGTATACCAGCACGATTCAGATTCCATTAGTCAGCTTAGGTGACTTTATATGCCTGAACCTTCTAAAGTAGGAGGACTCCACACTCATTACCAATAATGGCTACGGTTTGCCTTGACCTAACATGGAAGGTGAACGTGTCTGAATAATTTTGAGTTTGCTAAAAAGCTCCCTCACATAATATCTGTTAAGGAGCATGTCAACAGATACTTGTGCACAGCCGATAGCACCGTAAGAGTCGAGTTATATTGTACTAATATGTAACAACACAATAAACATTTTTTAAGAGAACTTTTCCTGAAAAAAATCTCCTCATCATGAGTCTCCATTTGTTTGCCTTTATTATTTTGATGTGCTATGAAACCGAGTCAGAAAAACAAGGAATTTGTGCTAGAATTTTTTCTCTTGTTAAATAAATAATGGAAATACATGCCCCACCCATATTAAAGCGTGTGTACTGTAAAAATACAAGAAACATGCACATTGATTTTATAAGATATTTATATATATTTTTTGTCTTCTTGCACAAGCTGCTTAGAAGTGGTGGGGATGAGAAATTGTCAAGTGGTCTATCATTATAATGTGAAACACACCAACTTGTATTTTCACAGTGTATCTGTGTTTAATGTAGTTTTTTTTTTCGCTTTTCTGCGTGGATTCTGATCAATTTACTGTACGATTCAGCACCGATCAGAGCCAAACGTTCCAATCGTACTATAATTCCTGTCCTATGGGAGAACGTAAACGTATTTTCCCAGGCAATTGCTACTACATTAATATTTGTGTTTTGAGATGTACCGTATACAGTTTGTCTTAACAGTGTACTCGTGGGATGAAATATATTAAACATCACCCTTAAAAGATCTGCACCACCTCCACTGTTTCTGTTTTCCTCTGCAGCTTTCCTTTCCCAATTTACAGTTTATGATTAAAAATAATAATAGTAAATTAAAGGCAGAATTCCACGATGAAAACGAGGGGAAAAAATCTCTACATGTAATCAGAAACATGTAAACAGTATTTTATCTCTGTCAGGCATTTAATACTCATGCTCATGTTTTGTATACAACAATGAAAACCCAAGAGAGTGACCACTTTTTGTTTGCAATGTACAAAGTGAGAAAAACTTAAACCTGTTTTATTTGCTTTTTTGCAAACAATTTAATTGAAACTAAACCACACATGTTTTTTGGATCTTTCTCCAGCTCACACCGGTAACTTTCCCAAGATACTATATGTCAGTCAGTGAAATCGAGTACAGTCAAAACATGGTGAGCAATTGCTTTTAAAAGGCAATTTTATTTTTTGCAACAAATACATCCTCTGCTAAGCAAGCTTTACTCTACAACTTTTTTACACCTTCAAATCGATATGTAAGCCTACATGAGGCAAATAAAAAGCAAAAAAAAAAAGAATTGTATAGTAATTGGTTAATTCAATTCTCGAATTTAATTTAAAACACGAAAGAAATGCAGCAAATTATATAAGTAATTTCTGGTAGTGGAGACAGACTGCATGGGTTATCCTGAAGAGATTTTCAGTGTTTTGCACTATGCAGATCATTGGGGGGAAAAGCTGTGTGTCCACACTGGAGGAGCTTTATCAGAAAGCACAAGTCAAAGGATGTGTTAAAGTCAGAGTCCTAGGGAAAGCGTATATTCTGTAGCTCAGATACCCAAAGGAGCTCTGTTTCCTGACCGTCTGTTGGTGGAGCTCAGGCTGAAAGGAAAACAACTAGATAATCCACTACTGCTGCCTGCTCTGGTAAGAGATATCTAAGTGGAACAACATAGCGAATCTTAAGAAGGCATTTGCACATCCTCCAGTTCAAGTTCATCATGCCTGAACACCTGCTGTCTCTGTCCTACAGTAGCTAAAGCCAAAATGGATCATTTGAAAGACACCAAAAAGCAAATCTCATTTCTTGGTGTTCAGTCATCACAAGCAAGGTTCATGTCTATGTAACGAAGACAGTATGCAAAGCCACTATTCATCATCCTATAGTAGCAGTTCTCTGGTAGACTAGGGGACTGAAAGAATGCCCACCACAGCTCTCAGTCATGGCTCCATCCAGAGTTATCTGTTACGACTGAGTACAAGATATACACAAAATAAGGGAACGTGTTAGATGTGGAAATGTCACACCGGTTGCAAAACTTCTTGAGGCTCAAGTACGTTAAGCACTTGGATAACTGCAAAGGTATCCAGTGGAGCACAGTCACGAATCCCTTCCATTGAAACAGAACTCCACTTTACAGCCTTATATTCTTGTGAAAATTGTTCTTCTTACTTAACACCAAACAGGCAATACTGGTCCTGGCCAATAATGGAAAGTGTGTCTGTAGGATTTTTAGATTTTTTTCAAAGCACCAACACCTGAAGAGCCTGCAGAAGTCATTAAATTGGTTAGCCAATTAAAGCTATAATAAACTCCAGGTCAAGGATCAGAATCAGAACCAGCTGGGCCGTGTGATTCTAAAACCAAGATAACATTGAAATTAGGATAAATTTACAATGTAATCTCAGAAACCGCGTCACTGCTAACAGTAATATTTCAACAATACTACCCAGACCATCTGAGCCCTCTGCTCACTGCTGTTTTGAGGTTGAGAAAACACCAATGTCCACATCCTGATATTGTTAGAAACGTTAGCTCTTGTCTGCTATCAGTTGTTGACCAAACCAATTCCCCATCCAATAAGGACTGATGCTGCAATGTTGGGAGTACTTGTTTTGTGATCTAATTGAGGCTGAGTACACAGAAAATCTAAAGCTCTATGATTTGTGCCATAGGCAGCACAGTGGTACAGTGGCTAGCATTGCTGCCTCAGCGCGCTAGGGCCCTGGGTTCAATTATGGACCTGGCTTGCTATCGGTGTGGAGTTTGTGTGTTCTCCACATGTTTGCATGGGTTTCCTGCAGGTCCTCCGTTTTCTCCCAGTCCAAAGACACACTGGTACGTTAATTGGCTTCTGGAAAACAATGAGCCCAGCTGTGAGTGTCCGTATGTGGTCGTTAATGGACTGGCGCCCTTTCCAGGACTTAACATGCTTGCCAGGATAGGCTCCGGGCTCCACTGTGACCCTAGACTGGAAGATGCAGTTAGGAAATGGAGAGATAGGTACTTATCTGCGAGAGACAGTTGATCTTTGAAAAGTGAGAAAATTCATTTTCTGTTGTTCACTGGTGAGCAAGGTGATAAGAGAAAAAAATCAAGGAAAATAAAAAGGGGAAAACCAGCACTGAGAAAGGACCCACTGGCTCTCAAAGCAGGAATATTCATCTTGGTATCCATGTAATCTTTCTGAGGGACATATCGTCTGTGAACTGGTGAACTGTGGGCTGGAGAAGCCAGTGGCACAGCTGTTAATGTCATTTCACCATCACCTCCAGGTTCACTATTAAGGACATTAGGAAGGTTCTAACAGAAAAATCCAGGACAGTCCCATATTTTTTTTAGAATGTTTGCTCTAGTGCCAAATAAAATTAAAACAATGTTAAAGTGATTAAAAAAATGAATTCTGGATAAAGAAAACGTAATACACTTTTTCTACACTTTAAATGCACTATAGGGGTTGGTCACTTATTGTTTGTCAACATTACAAATGAAAGACAGATTCTGAGATACCAGGATTGTTGTTAGAGATTGTGACATTATTGAATTTAGCGGAGATTTTACTTTCTGACCATTTTATTTAATCCATATCATTTATATTTATATATTTGATCCATACATACCTTATTACCGTCTAAACAAAGTCGTAGATACATTCAGTGTCTGTGCACGAATTAAGTGTATAATGATGTATAAGGTAATTCCCAAAAATATTTTTTTGTACACCGATGAAGAGATAGAGGTTAATTTACTCAACTGTGGAGGTACTGCGCACACCAATTGAAAACCTACTAAACCCAGACAACTGAAACAATGTAATTTAAAACCCTTACATTTGCATTAAATAAAGTGGTTTTTTTTGTATATTATGTATCTACTACCCCGTATTGGACTGCAGTAGCATTGACACTTTTAATCTGTAAAACCGCACAATCTGAAAATCTGCACAAAATACATGTATTGCTCTCCTGTTTTAAGATTATCTTCCCCACAGTTTACATAGAACACAGATCCAGAATTTAGAATAATCTAAAATTTAGAGAAAACGCCTATTAAAACATGTTTTTATGTTACATATCAGGGGGGGTAGGTTGTGATATGTAACATGTTACATATGTACAGCGTTACATGTTACATGTACAGCGATATAACATGTTACAGATCACGGGCTGCCTGAATCTATGATAAATATCTTATTAGTGAAACGTTTAATTTTATTTTCATTCGTGTACCGTTTCTGCTCGATACGCTACACACAGCCTAAAAAAATCCAACATACTAATTTTTGTTACCAGAGTTCACTGTTCTAAATTCGTGGAAATACCCGACGTCACGAACCCAGCCAGTCCTGACTCGCGCTGCTGTTCAAACCTCTCCCCGTGGTAGCGCGAGCGCTCCCGCAGAGGCTCGGGCGTCACTACCCACAATGCTCTTCAGTGAGGTTCACAAACAAGCCGGAGGTGCGTCATGTGGTTCCGGTGGCTCTTGGTCACGTTGTGGATGCAAATTTGTCTCTGGTTTGTTTTCGTCTTTTAAGTGCGAACGCATTTTTTAATAAAAGGAAACCTCGTTGGGAGCCTGTTGTCTTGAATATTTTTTATCGGAGATGGGAGTCCCAGCATTTTTTCGCTGGCTGAGTCGGAAGTATGCCTCAATTATTGTTCACGCCGTGGAGGAGAAGGTAAGTGTGTTGGTATCGCTATTAGGCTTGTTAGTATTAAAGTTATCAAGGCCTGAAGCATCACCACAAAGGGCCTAACATTTAAAATTTCATTTCTTTCGCCTCGTTATTGCAGCGAATTCGGGTTCTTCCAACATCCCTGTTATGCGCAGGGGCGTATTCGTCACATTATTTTATGAAGTTTGCACTCGTTCATAATAATGTTAATAACTTAAACGTGAGTCATAAATGTTACTATTTAAAAGTTTTTGCAGAATTTACGCAGGGTTGGAGTTTACATTCCAAATGCTTTATTCAACATGCTAAAATTTACGAAAGGGTATAGCTTTGACTCTTGTCGGAACTGGCGCCCTGACTGTCTAATAGGGTTTGGGACGAATTCTGTATCCTCATGGTTTCTGTTATCCCCAGAGCGATTTCTTATCATTGTGGAGCTCCAGTGTGCCCCTCGGTATGAGCCAAAATTAAAAGCAGGTTAGGGCTGCTAACCTGCTTTTAGCGATAATAAACGATCAAGGATTCTTTTTTTAAAAAAGCTTTCATTTGTTCATACTTGTTAAGAGGTGATATGCCATGACGTCCGAAGAAATGACTCACGAGTAGAAATGTTTAGGTTTCTTGGCACAACAGTCTCTCCACATTGACATGGGAGAGTAAGGCACACCAGGCAGTGAAGAAAGCCAATCAGAGACTGTTTTATCAGGCAGCTCTGAAAGTGAAGTGTGTCTCGGGAAGCCGTGGTTCATTATTGCAGGCTAACCGCCGAGAGCGTTTTTACCTGTTCTTTTACGGGCTGGTCTGGGAAAATAGCTGCAGAGAGCGGCCCCCTCAGCTTCTGAAATCCTGGCTTTGACCTGACATCGGTTGCTTCCATATACGCAACACGTTGGAATGGGGGGAAACTCTGAAGGTAATCAGTGACCCCTCCCACCTAGCTTCTCCCTTCAGCTGCTTCCCTTGTTGTAGATTTGATTTAGATAAAACTTTATTGGCTGTATACAATTTCTTGCATTAGGAATTTTGTCATTTCTCAGACCCCAGCTTGCTCTCCATGAGACACACAGGGAGAGAAGCTGAGGGTCAGAGCGCAGGGTCAGCCATTTATACAGCTCCCCTGGAGGAGTTGGGGTGAAGGGCCTTGCTCAGGGGCCCAACGGAGTAGGATTCCTCTGCAGGCCGCTGGATACAAACCGGCAACCTTCCAGCCACAGGCGCAGATCCTGAGCCACAGAGCCAGAACCATTTCCCCCAAGTTCGAGTAGGGAGCTGCATCAGCATGCATTGGCTGCAAAGGCGCAGGTAAAGGTTTATTCCCTGCTGAAAGGAAAAGAGCCAGAACAAGGCTCCACAGCCGAAACGTTGCACCTCTTTTTTTTCCTTTCAGCAGGAAAAAAACCTTCACCTACTCTTTTGAAATCTAGAATTGAGTAGTTCCACAAGAGCACCAATCCTGAAGCTACAACTGTTATAAAAGTGCTGGAGATTTTGCAGAAGTAGATATTCCAGACTAGTACTTTGCACTATAATGAATGTATTTCTATCTGTACAGCATTGTATTGTATTTTGTATATGACATGTGCATGTTATTTACGCCTTTTCTTTCTCTGATTTCTATCTCCGTCATCTTGGAAGGCACCAAAAAAAAATCCTAACAACCAGAGAGTTTGTTTTGGCACCAAAGTTGACTTTGACTTGAACTGGAAACAGAATAAAGCGGTTTTTACTTTCTAATCTGCAGCAAAGATATTGAATTGATCTCACTTGTTATAACTGGTTTTCCAGTCAGCGGGAGCTTCCTCGGCCAGACTGGTCTGTTCGGGCAGTAGGGTTGGATAAACAACGCATACAGCTCCCACAGGAAAAACATTTCAATTGTGCGGGCTGTCTCAGAAAATGTGAAGTTGCCCTCATTAATATGCGGAAGGCCGGAGTAACGTTTTTAAGATCTAAAATTGAGGTGCTTCATATCGGAACTAAATGTCGTGTCATTTATTTTTCTTATTGTTAGTGATAGCACACCAGAACCATGTCTGTGGCCAGAGTAGTGTATGAGGTGTGAATTCGGTTTGTGCAAAATGTGAAACTTCTAAATCACAGTTTTTGCAAATCTGCAGCAATCGCTGTTATTCCACATTCAAAATGGTGGTGCATTGCAGTGAAACTTAAGGCTCTTGATTTTTATGGTTGTCTGGTTGATTTTGTTTTCCTGGAAAATAAAGTTTGTTCTTTCAGAAAGCTCCAGTTGTCCTAAGTATTGCTCTGATCTTTATTTAGGCAAAAGAATGCAATGGAGTTCGCATACCAGTTGATACCAGCAAACCTAATCCAAATGAAGTTGAGTTTGATAATTTGTACCTGGATATGAATGGAATTATTCACCCATGCACGCATCCAGAAGACAAGTAAGTAGTTTTCTTATTGTTTTTTCTTGTTTTTGTGTTCTCACTCCTGTATTTATTTAACCACAATTCGTTCCATTACATTTTCAGACCTGCCCCAAAGAACGAAGATGAAATGATGGTGGCAATTTTTGAATACATTGACCGGCTGTTTAACATTGTTCGTCCTAGAAGAGTCCTGTACATGGCTATTGATGGAGTTGTAAGTGTTTAAAGTTTAAAGTGGAAATGTTCTTCCTTTTGTTAAACAAAATTTTCATGAACTAGAAATGTAAATTTGCAGATTTTAAAGTATTGTTATTATGTTGTTTACATGATTTATCGTTAAGGATATTTTGTTAGCAGTAATTGGTGCATGTTGATGGTGTGGTGGAAGGTGTCATACAGTCTGGAAAACATGCTTTTTGTCAGACACCACTAATTGAATTTAGATTTTAGCCAAACCTGAGAGAGAATATTTCTAGATGAAACTTTGCATCATGAACTACAAGATTAAGTCTGAAAAGAACTTCATGATGCAACCAATTCTGGGTTTCTTGCAGTTGTTTACAGGCTACAAATTGGAGCCACCTGGGTAAATGAATATATGAATGCCGACCAAATGTACACAAGAACCCATATTGAAATAATGTTCTGTAGTGATACACTGCAGGAACATGTACCATCCAGCAGCCATGTTGGTAATAACCGCGTAGCTCTCAAGCCTCACACATTGGAAGATAATCTCCCTGTCTCATGCTTTGGACTGAAAATCTCATATTTGCTCAAAGTCCAGGTTGATTAAAAAATACTAATGTAACATTTACAATTTTGTGTACAGAGCTGTGATTCTTGTGTGTTTTTTGTATGTAAATTAAGTCAATAGTATGCAGTTGCAATTTGTGACTGAACATCTTGCATAATAGGGTTTGGGACCCTTGAGACCTATGTTTGGAAGACGTAGGGGAAAAAAAATAAGGTTACCCCATGCAGACAAATATTGTGTCCCTTTGTTGTTTGCCAAATAATTTTCAATGTGAAAAAATATTTCTTGTCTCAGTGAGTGCAAGATAATAAGCAAAGCCTCAGTAGTGAAAATAATACCACGATGGCTTGATGCATACAGAAAGTAGCAAATAGAAACGTGTTTCAAGCACACGAGTAGCATCATGGTAAGCCGACATCTTTGATGAATGCTGTATAATCAAACCAGTTACAATAATAGGGTAGCTAGTTTGTTCACAAACGAGTAGAGTAATCCAGCTAGTTAGGGAGCTAAAGGGCAGGGCTGGGGGGTGCCATTACCACTGCTCCCTTTGAAAGGCTGTAAGTCAACTGGCTTTTGGTTTTGTGAAAATATTTGAAATGCTGTCTAACCCATTTTGTTTAGGCTCCTCGTGCCAAAATGAACCAGCAACGATCCAGGAGGTTTCGAGCCTCAAAAGAAGGAGCTGAGCTGACGGAGGAAAAGAAGCGCATAAGAGAAGAGATTTTTCAAAGAGGTAAGTGGTTTCCAGCAGTTTTGAAAACGTTGCAATCGGTCATACACAGGTCTAGCATTTCCGGGAAATGTCTACCAGATTTTAACAAGCGTTTGCTCCTGGTAAAGGAAAACAAAACTTTAATGACAAGGAGAAGAAAACATGGGAGTAATGAGTTTCATCATCATGTGTTCTGGTGATTTAAAGGTCTGTGCTTGTGATGGTTGAATCTTCAGATGATTTAAAACATAGAAAAGGTCATGAACCCGGAGTGGCCTGAGGTTTTTGTGTACTTTTGAGACGTTTTGCTGGATCCAGATGTAAAATGGCTAGTCATCTGTACAAGTCATTGGATAATGTAATATTTCCACACATTTATCTACTAATTTGATTGTACAAAATATAATTACTTCAGAAAGTGTCCATTTACAGGCTGCTAATGCTCATAATTTGTTGATGTTGGATTACAGAGCTGTGTGCCAGATACTTTCTCTGCATGTTTCCAAGACTGTAGGAGAACAAGCACATTAAAAATGTATTTCCTTTTTTGTGCTTGTGTGGCCCAAATTCTGTGGCCTTTTTTTTTTAAGACACAAAGAAACTTTGTGATTTTAATGTGCCATGACAAATTAATGGGAAAATCATTAGAAATACAGACCCTTTCTATTGTGTTTTTATTTTAATAATGGCACAGTCTGTATTACCAATTGATTTGCAATGGTGACTTGACCATATTAATAATAATAATAATTGCTTACACTTATATAGCGCTTTTTCTGGACACTTCACTCAAAGCGCTTTACAGGTAATGGGGACTCCCCTCCACCACCACCACCACCATCACCAGTGTGCAGCCCCACCTGGATGATGTGCCGGCAGCCATAGTGCAACAGAACACTCCCCACACATCATCTATTAGTGGGGAGGAGAACAGAGTAATGAGGCCAGTTGATAGATGGGGATTATTAGGAGGCCATGATTGGTAAAGGCTGATGGGAACTTTGGCCAGAATGCCGGGGTTACACCCCTACTCTTTTCGAGAAACGCCCTGGGATTTTTAATGACCACAGAGAGTCAGGACCTCGGTTTTATGTCTCGTCCGAAGGATGGCGCCTGTTTTTACAGTATAGTGTCCCCGTCACTATACTGGGGCATTAGGACCCACCTGGACCGCAGGGTGACCCCTGCCGGCCCCACTAACACCTCTTCCAGCAGCAAGCTTAGTTTTTCCCAGGAGTCTCACATCCAGGTACTGAACAGGCTCACACCTGCTGAGCTTCAGTGGGCTGCCAGTTGTAAGTTGCAGAGTGAAATTGCTGCTGGCCATATTAGTACTTCTGTTTAAGATGAGTGTGTATATAGGACTCCATCGACTGTATTATTGCTTTTAGGTGGATACCTGCCCCCAGAAGAAATTAAAGAGAGGTTTGACAGCAATTGCATTACTCCAGTAAGTAAATATATTTTTATGTTTTGTTCATACTAAACTTCTGAATACGTTGTATCACGTCACTTGCCAGTGCTTCCTAACATTTTTCAATGCATTACCTTTTTTTAAGCACCTTAATTTAATGTTACATTTAGCTTAATACACTGTACACAATTTTATTTATATCAAGATATAAGAAGTATAATCTTAAATCTATTATATTTTAAATGTTTGTTTCTCAATGAACCAAGTTTTTTTTTTTCTGAATCATAGTAGCAAACATTCAGTTCAGCTTAATTGATGTACTGGAGCCAAAATGAGTTCCAGGTTTGTGGTCCTTTTCATGAAGAGGCGCTGCTGCTATACTCGCATAGTGTTAATCCTGGGCAGACTACAGTATTACAGTGTGGGATATGGGCTTTGGGAATAAGATACCAATCCATGCTGTTAAAAATTATACAATGGCTTCTTTCAGGAAATTGCAGAATAAAATCCTCTGATCAGTTAGCTGCAAGCAGCTAATTGGAATAGATGGGGCCCCTCTCGTTTGTTATTAATTTTTTTGTGCCTTTTAAGTAACAGCTGCCTACAAACACTGTGGAATAACAGGTTGAAGAAGATAACCTGAAAATACCATTCAGCCTTAACAGTGTAACAAGTAGCGTAGATGTGAGTAGCAGAAGAGGAAGCTAAAATGATACCTACCACGTTTGGATTTCATTGGCCAGACTGTTTTTAAAGGAAAGCAGTTAGCAATATTAGGTGCACTTACCAAGGTGTTGACTTGTTTAGGGTGTAAAATGTCTAACTGCCCATATGTGAGGTCAGGTCTGCAGCAGGTTTTAGTGTGAAGAAACCTAGCATGTTACAAGTCATTTGGTATAGCATTTCTTAAGCTGTCAGTGGCTTCAAATGTGAGAACGAAATGTTCAGCACAGCAGGCCCCCTTTACGGCCAAACCAGGAGCCTCGCTGTAACGTCTGTTATTTGTATTGTCACTAGAATGATACCTGTTAATTTTTTCTGGGGAAAAAAAATAGACCGAACTATTTGTGCCCAGGAACAGTTAGTAGTATGGGATAAGTATCAACAAGAGAACAAAGCTATGGTCAGGGGGCCATCTTGCATCATGTAAAAACCTCTTTTACCATATTTTAGTTACATTATCTCTAGAATGATGACATGTAAGTAATTGCCCAAATGTTTTTAAGGAGCAGCAGCTAGGTCCAAGTAGGTGTTGACGCGCTATGCAGCCTGTTAGGCGCACATCTGAAACATGTCTGGGATGAAACCTGCAGCAGGTCTTAATACAATGGTAGCCTTTTCTTGTGAACAAAATGGTTATGTGGTCATTGTGGCTTATACAGAAGTCCCATTTGTCCCATGTCTTAACTGTATTATCACTAGAATGATCCCAAGTTTGAATTTATCTAACTTAAGAGCTTTTGAAGAGAGCTGGTGTGTTTCACCAGCAGGGTAATGACCCATGAGTGCCTGCAGCAGCCTGTGAGATGCAAGTCTGAAGCTCATCTCGGTGTAATGGGGTCTGACAAGCTTCAAGTAAACCAGTGAAGAAATAGCTTAAATTTTGAAAACAAAATGGTTTTGTGGTGGTTTAAGAAGATGCTGCATTTTGTCATATGTTCACTTGTCACTAGATTGATACCTACAATGTTAAGAGTTAAATTGTCCGAACAGTCATTTAACGGGAGAAGCTAAGCTTAGGTGTTTACATTTCACCAGCAAGCGACAGTCTTGTCTGGGTGGGAACATGATCGCAGCAGCTTTTGAATTTCAGGTAATTCGGTGCAGTGGTGCCTAAGACGAAGGCAGTTTGAGTTGAGATAAGGAAATAGCAGAGATCATAGTTTGTGCAGGATTGACAGTGTATTATGTTAATTTTGTTTTACCTGCAATGATGTTGACAAAACTGTTAACTAGGTGGCTATTGTTTTAAAAACGAGAGTTAACACTGGACTGCATTTCGATGACAAGAAAGAGAAATGGGGGGTATCTTGGTTTATGCAGGATCCCACTTTTCACGCCCCTTTTGTCAGAGTGATACCTGCAAAGCCTGGACTTAATTGCACAGGAGAACTGGGTTAGAGGCTACATTTCTCCCAACAGCTAATGACCCAAGGTAGATGGAGAGCATTCTGTGAGGTGCAAACCTAGAAAGGCTTTGATTGTTTCTGCAGTTTCATTTCAGTAAGTCCAGCAATTCAGAAGATGATTGTGGAAGCATTTTTGTAAATCCACTAAATTTCGGGCCACCATTTTGGATAATGCCGATTTTTTTCCTAAAAGTTATGGCTCATACAGTATATCCCAATGTAATCGTTTTACAAAATCGCAGTCCTTTTTCACACTTTTCATTAATAACGCACAAATTTGCGGAATACTAAGCTGTAGAATGGTAATGTGTGTTGTATGTGCAAACAATGGAGAATAAGAGAGAGAAGAGCACCTTTGTTATGTACAAGTTAACAGTGTAAGAGGGCGTAACATACTAATGCCTACAGATCAGACTTAATATCAGTGTGTGTATTTATGTATAGTTGCTTTTAAATTACAGGGCACGGAGTTTATGGACAATCTTGCCAAGTGCCTGAGATATTACATCGCTGATAGATTAAACAGTGATCCAGGATGGAGAAATCTAACGGTATGTGTAATAAAGCAATTTATTACCAATCCAAGTATAAGAGTTCATTTTGTTGTACAGTCTTGATGTTCCTGATTTTGTAACGTGTGAAACCCCATCATATAGGGGCAGGAAGAAGAAAATCTGTAAAATTTCAGACTGGATGAATGTTGTGATGTGCTTTTGTTGAAACTGGGGGGAGAGGATTGCTGATTTTAAACTTAACAGGTTCTGTCAACACAGAAAATCATATTTGTGGGCAATACGCAAATGTGTTTTTTAGATCAGAATCGCTTCAGTTGATGTCAGGTGAAGGTAAATTACCTTTTTGCATTGTTTGGAATGTGATGGGTTAAACCTGAACACAGTTACAACCCCCTTTTATAAAATAAAATTAAGCCATTTAATTTTTAAAATGTTTTAACTTTTCTCTAAACGATCCATTTTTTTCACTTAAAATATTATTGGTTACAAGACCTTATTAACGGTGAAAAAAGCCTGACATGATTTGTCTTGATTCCAGGCTTTCCATCAACAAAAGCTAAAATGTCAGTTAGGGTCTATAGACTTTTGATATGCACTGTAGATATTTTCTGTCTTAATCACTTGCGGCTGTTATCTATAACCATTCTGATATATTGTCATACATGTTTTTGTTTCTTAAATATAATATTCCAGTTCATAGCAAACAAAATCTGTTAAGCATTTTAAAATGAATTTTTGCTCTGCTTTTTGTATACGTTTTCCTTAGAGTAAAACAAATGTAAAATTTTCTGCATTTATATTTTTTTATGATCTTTCTAATAAAGCCAATTGAGTCTCATTGTAGAAATGAAATAATTCTCATTTGTTTCAGGTTATTTTGTCTGATGCGAGTGTGCCAGGAGAGGGAGAGCATAAAATCATGGATTATATTAGGAGGCAACGAGGTATCAGTCCTCTTCTTTCACCTGTATCTGGCTACTATGATTATTTGTTATCCAGTGATAATGAATTTGGAAGCATAGTTTTACTCACACTTTCCCTTCAGTTACATTTGACTTCATTGACACCCCTGCCTGATTTTGTTTTTTATTTAACATGACTTAATTTTTACTTAAACATAACACCAAACACCTGTTCTTGTCTAAAAGTGAGGGTGGCCAACAGCAGTTTTTATTTTAAACCTTGGGCATCCCAAACGTGATTTACATCTTTTGAATAATGGGTTTCTTTTCTCTCCTCAGCCCAGCCCAACCACGACCCCAATACTCATCACTGTCTCTGTGGAGCTGACGGTGAGTACAAATCATTATCATGTTATTAGTATTTCTTAAAGAAGAGGGGAAGGTGCCAGACTTGCAGTTACATTTAATCTGTCAAATGGGTTAGATGAGCTCCTTGTTACTTAAGGATATGTATTTTTGTCCTATATTTCAAGGTTCTGTGCCCACATTTAAGTTAAGTTAAGGATGGGGGTGTAGCATTCATATTCCTTAGCGTTTTGTTTTCCCTGAGAAAACTGTATTTAGTTGCTCAGTTTGAAAGCACTGCTGCAACTAATAAAGCCATCATAAGGACTGTTTTCTTTGTTGTTTATTGAGAAATTTTGTTTTAAAAACTCAGGCTTTCTAGAAAAAAAATGTTTTTCTGCTACATTGTGCTGTGGTTGCATTACACAATGGAATGAATGTCTGGTAAGGACTGAAGGTTGTGTTTTAATGAACTTTGTGAATGAAAGGCAGTATGTTTTATGTTCATAACCTTAATTAGAACTAAAAGTACATGTGTCATTGAAAATTTATTCAGGGTATTTGATGCATTTCAGCCAACCTGGGTATAGAAGAAGCTTAGATATATTGTAGTGTTTTCTATAAAACCAGACCTTGAGTAATCTTTCAACTGCAGATCATTTTATTATCGTGAAACCATCAGTATACTTTAAGTCTTACTTTGTAAAAAATGTTTTTCAGCTGATTTGATAATGCTGGGACTGGCAACCCATGAGCCTCAGTTTACGATCATCAGAGAAGAGTTCAAACCAAACAAGCCGAGGCCCTGTGGCATGTGTGGTCAGCTTGGCCACGAGATAAAAGACTGCCAGGGTCTTGCAAGGGAGAAGAAGGGAGAGGTATTTGTTCCGTCTTTAACCGAAGTTAAGGCCTCCTCTGATGACACTGTGAGAATGAAAAATCCTGATGCATGACTTGGAGATGTGAAAATCGTGTTATTTTTTTGCAGCATGATGAATTTGCCGATACCCCGCCAGCTTCAGAACAGGAGTTCATATTTATTCGGCTTTCCGTTCTGAGAGAGGTGTGTTTTTTTGTTCTCCTTTTTAACTGAATAATTCTCCTGCTTTGCACTTAACAGTAGGAAAAACATAGGAATTTAAGGAAATGTGTTACTTCAGTGTGGCACATGGCTTTAAGAAAAATGTTGGTTTCAACAAGGCGCTATATTTAATGTATTCTTCACGTGCTTAAAATCTTGACAGCATAAGTCACCACTTGTCAAAGCTCGTCACTTTTTTGCACATTCATGTTCCTTGTATTTTTGACATGACGTGTTATCTTTGTGCCTTGCAGTATTTGGAGAGAGAATTAACTATGGCAAGCTTGCCATTCCCTTTTGACATTGAAAGAAGCATTGATGACTGGGTGTTCATGTGTTTCTTTGTGGGTAACGACTTCTTGCCTCATTTACCATCTCTAGAAATCCGGTGAGTTTACTGGCAGAGCCTTTTGGTCTCTTGTCACCTTGGATCATTCTACCAGGAGTGGCTTGTTGCCCTTCATCAGAAATATATGTTCTTGAATTTTTATTTATTTTTTTCCAAGAATTTTGTCTGGGAGGATCCAAATCAAAACCACACATGTAAAAGCGTGAATGAAAATGTGTGCCCTCTTCAACTTAAATTTACTTGTTTTCATTAGCTTTGTGACATTGTATGTGTATCAGGTCAAGATACTTTTTCCAAGCCTCTTCTGGATCTGCAAAAGTTTAATTATTCATTTTAAAAAGATGAACACCAAAACCACAGGCACACAGCCTGTTGTACTATTTGAAAAATCTGAAAGAACTACATCTGACTGATCTGGAAAAATGCATAATTTCCAGAGTGAATTGCATTGAATGAAGCCTTAGGATGAGATATTTTTTCAAATGAAGGACTTCAGTTCATACAGTACCTGTGCCTTAAGCTCATCTAAGCTGTTCCTCATCCAAACAACAGAACCACAGTCTACAAATTTATTAATACATTTGATTAATGGAAACTTAGTTACCTCTAGATTTCTCAATATTCATTAAATGCATTACAGATGGATGTAAAAGATTACTGAGTGTGTTTACATTGAAACTAAAATTAATACTTTTAAATGCTCAATGCCAAATTTATTTATACCCTGTAATTCATACCATCTCTAAAGGAATGCTCTAAAAGCAATCCTCCTTTTTAGTCATATATTAATTTGCTAGGGACTCTGGAAGGGTTTGGGAGTCCTCCTGTTTGCCACCTCAGCAACCATCGGTACAGATGGAGTATTGTACAAATATCTTAGGGTAAATATCAATCTCGGCAACTGTAATCATGGTTATGAAATCCACAAGACATCCTGGTTTCCATTGTGGTGACCATCATGGAAAACGTTCAGGGCTAGTATGGTTACCACACCATGTATGGTATGCAGTACGTCCAAAATTCAGCAGCCAGAATCCTGACCAGATCTAGTGCAAGTGTTCACATTACTCCTATCCTGGAGTCCTTGCACTGGCTTCCGGTCAAATTCCGCGTAGACTTTAAAATCCTCATGCTCACCTACAAGGCTTTACATGGCTTGGCACCTCAATACCTGTCTGAACTTTTATCGCCCTACTCCCCACCTCGCAACCTCCGCTCTTCAAATTCTGCCCTCCTTACTGTCCCCCAAGCCCGTCTACATTGTATGGGCGACAGGGCCTTCTCCTGCTATGCCCCCAAGCTCTGGAACTCCTTGCCCAAGGATATTAGAGAGTCACCTTCTCTAAACTCCTTCAAATCCAGACTCAAAACCCTCCTTTTCAGAAAAGCCTTTACTTAACTGGTTCCATTCTTCACCCCTCTGCTCTTCTTAATACCATCTTCCACGGTCTCCTCTATTGTTATTGTTGTAATTATAATTGTGTCCTGTCTTGTGAAATTTTCTTATTTATTGTTGTAGTCTTCTTATTTATTGTTGTTGTCATCCTGTAAGCGCTTTGAGAAGCCACCTTTAAAGGCGCTATATAAAATAAAGTTTATTATTATTATTATTATTATTATGAGGTTGGCAGAACGCTGATGTGAGGTCAGAAAAGTGGTTTGGAAGGATAACTCGCTCCCCAGTCCATCAATCGGGGATGTTAAGAGTTTTGAAGTGAGCCATCACCAAGACTGCCTTTAAAGGCTAACCTCATAAATCTGGGGTCTGTGAATAGTTCCAAGACAACATAAGATATGAATTTGCCAGACGGCAACTAAGTGTTTCCCAGGTCAGAGGGCACCATGTGGTCCAAGGGGATGAATACATTTGAGGGGTACTGTATTTCTGGTGTTGGTGTTGTAATCTGACATTTTTATTTTTCTGAATATGTACGCAGGGAGGGTGCAATTGATCGACTGGTCGGCATTTATAAGGATGTGGTACACAAGACAGGGGTGAGTATTTACAAGTAGAATGATTTTCTCTTGTTCCAAGACAGCTATTGAAATATTTGACATAATATTAATTGTTATGAAGGAATATAAAAGAAGCTTTGACTGTAAAGTTGTGCGGTTTATGCAGTTTGTTCTTCAAAGATACTTGAGCAGGCCTGTTTGTTTTATTTTAGGGATATCTTACAGAAAATGGCTTTGTTAACCTGGAACGAGTGGAGCTAATTATGCAAGCTGTGGGAGTGGCAGAGGACAACATTTTTAAAAAACGGCGAGAGGATGAGGTAAGACATTCTGTGTTTGTATGGGAAGATGACTTTGTCCTCCTAGACTTGTGTGTTGTGGACATTGCCATGTTTGCATTCTAGATTAGATGCAGCTAATTTACACTTGTTAATAGTGGCAATGCTTAGATTGCAAGGGAAAACAGGTTTGTTTGTTTTTTTACAGTGTTTTGGATAATTAAGAAATGTTATGTGGTCACCTCTTGTAGCCACCTGTTTGGATTTTAGAAGCGATCCCTTATTTAGGAGTCTTTACATTGTATACACTCTCTTTTGAAGCCTGAATGAAAGCGTTCACACATTTGCTGCTCCTGCGTCTGTGTGGTCTGCTAGCATCTATTTCTGATAATGCCTAGTATAAACAGGTTTTGTCCAGGAAATTTTAAATATGTTTTTTATTCTATGCATCGCGTTGTTTTGGGTAGTTGGGTAGTAAAAACAGTGCTTTTGTCCTCTTTTAGGAAAGCTTCCGAAAGAGAATGAAGGAAAAGAAGAAGCGAATGAAAGTAAGTGAAAAGGGAAGAATCCATAAATACTGCATTGTATTTTGTGTTTGAAATGTATGTCCATTTTTATCCAAAGTTAAAGCAAGGTGCACATTCAGAACTTATTTTTATTATTAAAAGGTGATTCTTTCCTGATAATCATCCTTTCTAAAATTATTGGCATGGCATTCTGCTTTAAATAAAGACGAATTCACAGTGTTCCTGGAAAAGTATTATGTATTCTAAGGAAATGTTTCAGAATCCACGTGTGTTGCATGACATGCAATTTTTTTAATTAAATCATTTTTCAATTTGTTTTCTACTTTCCAGAATTTTTTTAATGGATCTTGTTTCACCTTTCTAACTTATATTGAAGAAGTCTTTATCTCACCCACCACTGCCACCGGGACTGATGCGTATGATTTTCTCTTTCTTCCTCAGGGGGGAGAGAGACCAGCTTTTTTGCCTTCAGGGCAATTTGCTCCTCAAGCTCTGGGAGGGAGAAATGCACCACGACCTGTTCACAATGCAAGGCAAGCTGCATTTGACATGAGGATGCAGGGGAGAGATCAGCAGAACAAGGTATGCCTGAATGCTAAAGCCATCTCGGTAAAGAATACAAAAATAACAGACGATGGAAATATTTCCTGTTCTGGGAGATTGGATGCAGTAAACGGTACAGTGGGTGATGCCCGACCTTGGATATGCTCCCTGTAGACATGCCGCTCATTTCCTGAGATCAGGCATCACACGTTCTTGAGACTAAAATCAGGGGAAAGATAAAGGTTGCTCTCAACGAACTATGGTGACATCAATTAACATTCAGTGTGAGAGTCAGGTTTATGTGCAGAATGTACTTTTTCAAAATGTTACTAAGTAAAATGCTAACAGACCAAAGGTAGAATAAAAATGCAAAATACAGCAATAATTCAATAGTATTAGCACATATGTTATACCATTTTAAATATTTGGCTAATTCTAATCTCCAGACTATTTGCGAAAACATAAATAAGATCACTTTATTGGTTATATACAATTTCTTGTATTAGGAATTTTTCTTTTTTGCATACCCCAGCTTGCTCTCCATGACCCACACAGACAGGGAGAGAAGCGTGGGGTCAGAGCACAGGGTCGGCTGTTTATACGCCCCTGCGGCAGTTGGGGTGAAGGGCCCTGCTCAGGGGCCCCACAGAGTAGGATTTCTCTGCCGGACGTGGGATTTGAACCAGCAGCCTTCCAGCCACAGGCGCACATCCTTAGCCACAGAGCCAGTCTTTTTCGGGGCCTTCAGTGGTTAGCTCCTGCTGTTACCTTTAAAAAAAAATTGTTAACTTATAAAAATTTAACTTTTAATCTTTACTTGTTGGTTAATTTTGAATATTTATGAAGCAACACCTTAGTGGAATTATATTGATGGTTATACTGTGTTTTATACTACATTTAACACAAAACGTACGGATAGAGTCAGTCAGAGAGATATTTCTCCCAGATGCGTTACCCATAATGTGGCAGGTTACGTTATGCAATTCACCGGCCAAAGACGATCGATAGGTGGTACTTGTGGTGCGTTAGATATAAGTGAAACAATTGCTTAGTTTAATCTGTTTCTCTCCTGTGCATGTGTAAATCTGCTTAATATGGAATATTCATATTGGATTTTACAACTAAAGGGACATTTTGGTAGCTGAAAGTAAAAACAGAAGTATAACATAATATATATCTAATGTACTTAATGAAACAATGTAGTAGCTGGAAGTTTTGATGTGCTTCTAAAAATAGGCAGCTGGCAGCTAAAAATATCACTTGTGGATATTTTGGAAATATTTTGACATTCGTTTGACTTTTGCAGTTGTTATAGTTGTAATGAACAATGAAATGCTCATGGACTGTATTGTAGCGTGTTGCACTCAAGTGGTAGGCACAACAATTTAGACAACTGGCTGCTACTTAGAAGTTGACCAGTTCACATGAAGTGATGTCCACAGATATACCGAAACGGTACCGTACACGTCAGTGGACTGCAGTGTGATTGTATACCCTATAAATACACTGTATATGCATATGTGATCCTGTAAGCCACTACAGTACAGTATGTGTCAAATATATTTCTCATAATCAGAATTTGAAGTTAAATTGTTTCCTCACTACTTTTTGCTGAGATTTTCATTAAGATAAAATATAGATTACCGCAATGCAGATGTAATCCTGAGAGTAGCTTATTGTGTTCACAACAAGCTACTGCAAAAAATAAACTTATTTTATTTTGTAAAATAGCCCTACTTTAATATTAAACATGCTGTGATACACAGATTAAAATGAATAAATGTCTAAATGGTATACATCTTAACTTCTATAATTGGAAAAGGATTGTCACAAGGGGCTCATCATTGACCAGGATTCCAAACCGGGCGTTTTCTGGTGGCAGCCCAAAGTCTTCCACACACCATGTTCTTTACCGTGCCACCTGCAGTTTTACAAAATAGGGCAGTCCTACAGCAGAAAATGTTTTCTTTTTAAAATGCAGTGCGGTATGTTGCGCTGTAGCATGTGCACCTCTGATTGCTGCGTTATCCCACGCGCATTCTGAATGGTTGGTTCTGTATACATTAACATACATAGATTTAAAGTGATCTATTGCAGTTCTGAGTGACTTGTGAAAGGGATTAGTTTTAAAAATGACCCACTGGAATCGAGGCCAAGAAGATCAGTGTGAAGTCACTTTAGGGTTTAAAGATGTCCTACAAGGATCAGTTTTTAACATTTAGCTTTATCTTGATATTAATTATTGAACAGGGAAGACTAAGAAGACCTGATTCAGATATTCCAAATCCTGAAAGTCATTGAACTAAGTCAATCTTCAGGATCAACAGTGAGACTTGAGCCAGAGATCAAGAGTGGAAGCTAGGGGAAAGTGTATTTAAAACTGAGATCAGGGGACACTTTTTACCGAAGGGCTTTGGGAAAATGCTGTTTGTTGGATAGATGACGATTTTGATCAATGTCCTGTTGAGAACTAAATGAGCTTGAAATTCCCCTTCTCGTTTGTCACCACTTTTATATTCATCTGCACATTTAAGTACAGGTTTATGTACCAGTACCAGTTTGTCTGGGTAGCACTCCACTGACTTGGCAATGATTTAAGGAGAAACTGCATGTTTAACGTGTAACAGGAACCAAAGAGGAATGATCATTAAGGCTATGGGATTTTGAAAATAAATTGACCTTTAATCACCTCTTGAAAAGGAAGGTAGTATTGCCTTTCTTCCAATGGTTTCACTGAACAACAGCCACAGAAAGGTGATGTGAAATTTTAGTAAGGCATTTTGTCAGACCATTGCCTTTTTACTTATGTTAAGTTGCCTTTCTAAATGTTCTCATCAGTATATTTCAAAATTAGTATAAATTGTAATTAATATTTAGAGAACCTTTTCTCAATATTAACTCAATATTCAACAAAGTGCAAAAATAGTTAAGTGGATTGAGTGCCTTGCTCTTACTTGAGTTCTGGGATATTGAATTTTAAGTTTCTTAAATGGGTCTGAGAATTTGTCCACCTAAATCATTATTGTCCTTTAACATTATTCACACTCCGCTGTGATATTGATTGGCAAAAAGAGTAGATAAGAGGTATTTGTTTTTTTGTAACTTGTGCTTAATTGTCCATAACCCTTCTTTGACACTCCAGGTGATAATGACATGCAGTGTTTTTTTTTCTGTGACTATTTTTGTCATGCGGTATAAATATCTTTTTCCTTTTTTTCCTCAGAATGCTGCATTATCGTTAAAGGCCCAGATGAAGAATGGAAACCAGGCATGTCTCTGTTCCAGCTTTCTGATATGTACTGCAATACTGTAAAGATGTGTACATAGGAGCATTGTTTTTTAGTACTTCTGAGACTGGCTAAATAACATTAAACAAGTCACTTCTGGAAATGTATAGTTATTTCAGCAGTGTCCTTTATAAATTATTTAATGTGATTAGATTATTTTTCAATTGAGGTATTAGAAAAGTAACCTGTAGCATTTCCTCTAGTGGTTTCTTAAACAAATGTACAATTACGAATTGTCAACAGCCGCTTGTAATACCACAAAATGAAGTTACTATGAAACCACTGAACTAAAAAGATGTGCAACATGCTTGTTCAAATTTTTAAAATAGATACTTGTTCTAATTTTTAACTAAATGCAAAATATTATTTCACCTTGATTATTGCTGACTTTAACATCTGTAAGAACGTATTAATGCAAACCATAACATTAGCAGTAATTTACGCATCAATAGTGATGTGAAATGTAATTCAGAATAAACTGCATTTCCCATAATCCCTACCCAAGTTGTTTAATAGCTAAGTGGCGCATGTATAGAGACAGTTCAATATATAATTATAATTGGCAAATAAGCTGAGGTTCTCATCTAAGGTGTAAAAAGAGTGTCTTGGTAAAATAGGTACATTTTCATACACATCTCATATATTTGTAATCTTCCACAAGCTGTTGGGCTGTTAATACATACCGTGTATATATATATATAAGGAGGTTTAGCAGCAACCTTATGTTAACATCCGTTGAAATGTTGATAATCAAGTCACAATTTTATCATTCATATGTTTAATAGGAAATGGTAGATTTATGGGAAAAAATGCATAGCCCTCCTTATATTGGAGTGAAGTTAGAACCCTCCACATCTTTCTGTACAAGTGTGTTATGAACCTAACCCCTGCAACTGCAGATGCTAATGGCATTCCACTTGCCCTTCTCGTTTACATAAAGATAGCTTTCTCCAGGCTGGCTAGGAGTTATTTCAGAGCCACTGTACAGAACCCTTTGAAATCATTTCATTTTTTAATCTTAATTGTTGAGGTTAAAAGGTAGATTTTTTTAGTGAAATGTCTTAATTCTATTTTAATCCAGTTTTAATGAAAAGATTTCTGCTGTCGATTATCATGTTATGTGAAATATTCTAGGTGACAATATGGCGTTAGACTTGTAGTTGTTGCTACAATCCTCTGCCTTTTATTTTGAGGACATTGCATGTTGCATATTCAATGTTTTTTTATTATTGAAGAGTTTAATATTTACATTAGAAACTGTTTTTGCAGTCTTGTGTTTTTTTATATTTCTTTCGTAGGAATTCACATTTGTTCTCTGGTAATTTATTTCGTCAGTCACCCCATTCCTCGTTAATAATAAATCATTCTGGGGGGCAGCTGCATCGAGCTGGTTGTCTACAATGTTTCTGGTTTTGTCTTTCCCATGATTGACATTACCTGCTTCTTCAGTCTCCCTCAGGATCCAGTGATATGGCTGATGGCAGGGGGGTTAAGAGAAAAGCAGAAGATAGCGACAGTGAGCCTGAACCAGAGGATAATATTAGGTAAAGCCGCGTTATTTGACAGCAGTTTGTTGAATTGCAAGTCGGGGGTGCATTCTAATTAATGGCATTTAAGTTGAAGCAGCAAGTGTCTTCAGATGTTTTTTCTGTGATCTTTTTTTTTTGTCTACGAGTAATTAATGTGGAAAGGCAGAATATTCTGCAAATTCCAATGAGATGTGCAAGCCAGAGCTGTTAAATCCAAGTAGCTGAATTAGTATTCATGCAGGTTTTCCTGTAACAAGTCAGTTTTCCCTGTGGGACCAAGTAGTGGATTGGGTAGACGGACATTGTTCATCCTTGATTATGTGAGCTGAATGTTACTGTACTGCTGGAGCTTTTTTTGAAAAAAAAAAAAACAATCCTTAGGCACCAAACGAATTTCTGTAAGCTGCTAAATGGAAATCGCTACAGTGTAATTCTAACCCTGTTTGTCAGAAAAAAATGTTATTGTTATAGTCCATTATATATGTTCTGTACTGGGTTTAATAACCATTTAATGCTGTTGTTGAAGTATACAGCTTTCTCTTGTGATTGTGCTGCAGTAGGAGTACTTCAGGGCATTATAGAAGTCTTTGTTTTGCTATTTTACCATTCTCAGTCTCCCAACTAAATTATTATTGATCTAAAAGAATACTGTAAAGAGTGGTGTACAAATTAAGTGATGTGATTTAATATTAGGGGTTGTAGTCAAAAACAGCAAGGGAATGGCTGTAATTTAATGATACTTGAAAGCTCTACAGTTTGCTTTAAGATTCACAATTCATTATTTTTGGTCTGTATTTTTAGTATCAAAGATATGCAGCTGTGAGAGAGGATTCTCACTCTGATGTTGCCTAATTATGTTTTCTGTCTGCTGAACTGTTCAGGCAGTATGAAATTTGGTTTTTAAACCAAATGGTCTCATCTTGCATATAATTATGTTAAGGACAGCAACTTCAAGGGTGAATTGGAATGGTCCACCAAATCTACATTTCCATCTAAAAACTAAAACGTTTTGATGCAACCATGTTGGTGAAACTTTCAAAGAATTTCAAAGTATTTTTATCAACGCATAAACTAACAGCTATTTTTAGGATTGTGTTTTTGGTGTTGGACGGTATGTTTTTTTTTCTGAAGCTGATGTGTAAAGGTCCAAGTTTCCATTATATGGATAGGCATTGTTGTCCATTCACAAATTCATTTTTGAATTTTTCAGAAGATAGCAGACAATGAACAATTCCTTCATGAATTCTGTTAAATGTTAAATATATTGATCTTGATCTTCCTATTTGGGATGTGTATTTTGAATAGTTAAGCCAATTGAGAATCATAGATCTCAGTTTATTCGGCTTTTGTGTTTTACAAGTCTCATGTTGGTGCTTAATACCTGTTTGTCAGTTAACTCTACATATGCAGTGGTATCAAAATCAAAGCCTCTCATTGGCATAACAAGTAGCAGATTGAGTTGTTCACTGGGTGAACAAAACGAATGATTGACAGTTTCTTTAACTGTAAATCTTTAATGCTGAAATAAAATACTGTGATGGAGACCTTCAAATTAAAAACAGGAATAGGTAGTTTCTGAAATCTGTGGTGAGGCAGAGTGGAAGGCTGGGCACTAAGCCATCACAAGCCACACATGCACATGGGAGACAGTTAAAGGTGTTCTTTAAACACTGAACCTAGACAAGCCTGCCTTTAGACTGTGGGAAGAAGTACCCAATAGAAATTCATGTGGGCACTGGGAGAACATGCAAATCCACATAGAAGGCCTACTGGGGAAGAATAAATCCCAGGACCCAAGAACTGAGAGGCAGCAGCACTAATAGTCACACAACTGTGCCACCTTTACATCGTTTCCATTATTCTACTATTTCAGTTCTATTTGTGGCTCTGTTTACTTTTCAGTTCTTTCTATCCTTATTGGCGTTTTACTAACTTATTTTTACCAACTATACAGTTGCATTTGCACTTATTAGAAATTTTCTATATTGTAAGTTGCCTGGATGAGGGCATCTGTTTAGAAGATGGTAGATATATCTATATATTTATGCAACATTTTTTAGTATTGGTTCTGTCTTTGAAATCCATTTTTTTCTTTTAATAGGTTATGGGAAGAAGGGTGGAAACAACGTTACTATAAAAACAAGTTCGATGTTGATGTGACTGATGAAAAATTTCGGCGCAAAGTGGTCAAGTCTTATGTTGAGGGTCTTTGCTGGGTCCTTAGATATTACTACCAGGTATGTGTTTTTTTATGTTCTGTGATAATCCTTTAATGAATCTAGCCTCTACACTTTCATTTCAATGCCACTTTTGACTTAAGACGTTGATAATTTATAGCCAAGTGATACTGCTCTGATATTAATCATGTCAAAAAGCTTAATATTAAACTTTGGACATTTTTATGAAACTTTTAACTAATTAATGGACATTTTTGAAGTCCCCATTTGTTGCTATTAGCATGGTAAATTAATCCATAATATCTATTAAGTTATATGTGGTATCTTAATTAAGATATGCTAGTGGTGGCAGTGATATTTTTTACTTGTACGTAATGATGGGATAGATGATTGATTTTAGAGGTTACGTTTTGTGAATCAGGTATATATAGAGAAAGGGTCATCAGCTGATTTCCAGTTCAGTGTCTTGTCTATTCCTTCTTAGTGTTATGAAACAGTGTTTGAAAATACTTCTGCAAACACAGGACAATAAAATTAGAAGATGAAAAGCAAAGCTAACCCATATCAATAGAACACATTTATGATAACATCCAAAGTCAACTAATTCTTGTTGTGAAGTTGGGAGAGGTAGTTTAGCCATATCTGCTCCTGTGACATTGAACAGGTTTTCCTCTGCTGTCTGTTATCCTTTAATAATTAATAAACCCTGCTGAGCCAGCAGTTATGCTGTCCTGTCCCTCCTTCCTCACTGGCTGACATGCTAGGAGAAATTGCCACAATGTTATTAATTTTAATTCTCTATGTATTCACACAATGGCTATGAACTTATGTCTCACATAAGATCCGGGATACATAAAAACTTGCAGAACTGAACTGATGCGTAACCGGGGAGTGGCTGTATATGCAGTGTTTCAAATAAGATTGGCGCCAGATACTCAAAGTTTGCATTTCTTGGTTTTCTTATACTTGCCAGGCTAGCATCCCGAGCCTATGGGTTTTCCTTTAAATCAATGACATGATGTTATTTCAGCAAACATTCAGAATTAAAAAAAAAATCTTTAGTCAGTTGTAAAGATATGCATATGGTCAAGTTATTTTCTCCAGAATTGATTGAAGTCGTAGCTTTTTTTTGTTACTGTGACTTCAAGTGGTCTTTTGTGCAAGTTGATTTGCTTTTGTGATTCTGCACAACATTGCACAGAATGGTTTCCTGCTGCCTTTTTGAAGGATATCAGGGTACTCTTTTTTTTGACAGTTACATTATTTATAGGCAAGTATAAAAGGTATATGACTGAAGGTTTAGTTCTGGCAGTTCACAGGTTCCATGTGTGTGGTTTCTGCAGCTAATTGTATGGATTTCTGTGGGTACTGTGATTCTGTAACAAATGGGAGTTATATTTTCAATTTCTGCAGAGGCTCCTGGAGATCTGGCAGGTTAGATTTGTTGCATTGTTTTCTTTTCTTAGTGGAGCATCAGTGAATGTCTCTTCAGTTAGCTGGACAGCAGATGAAAACAAACAATTTACAATCATAATTGATTGGTTAAATCAGTTTGAGTGTTTTGATTGAAAGTCTCATTTTAAAGGCAATCCGTATAGATTAAAATAAAATGTATTTTTATAGTTAAGAAATTGAGTTGGGTGTGTTCACAGATGCTAATATTCTGGGTTCAACAGCATGGGATCGCCATATCTGTAAATAAAGAAATATTGAGAGATTTTATTGCCTTCATTTACGCTAATAGCATACATTTGCATTGTAGACCTCACTTTATGCACCTCAAATAAGCTATTACCGACATCTTATTTCCGTCAGATAAATTACCAACCTGTGAATAAAGAATACTGAGAGGAGTTGCTTAGTTTCAATGCTTTTGTAGCCCCTTGTTATTTAAGTTGAGAGTGCAACTTGGTAACCATTGGTAACCATCTGTCTGTTCACTTATCTGAAAGTTGTGGTGTACTATAGCGAATGGAAGGAAGAACTGGACACATTCAGCTGTACCATACAGTGAACCAAATCTTAATCGTCTGCCCCTGGCGTTAATTGGAATGAATGAATGAAAGATTATTGTAAATGATGGAATTGTGATACCTGAACATAACTAAACCTGGGCATCTTCTCTCCTTGCATGCTTTGAGATGAGGCTATTAAAAATGCTTTTTGTTTGAAATTCAGTAAGATAATATATAAATCGGTTACTGTGACAATAGCTGTTTGCTGTTACAGCATGGAATGGATAACTTGTCTTATGATGGAGATCTGCATTTAAGCTACATTTACCTCTCCAGACAGAAGTATATAGACAGCGTTATTTTGAGAGCACACCAGTCCTTCAAACAAGATGGCATATATAATGCATGGCTTAGAAGCTTGTAAATTTCAGTTTGCCAGAGGATCAAAATGATTGGAGCAGTGAACATTGTCACCTTGGTAACCGTGGTATAAAAAAAGTTTATGGTTATAAATTGCTTCCATCTACATTGCAGTAAACTGTTAAACCATGTTATCGTGTCATCCTTACAAGTAGTGTATTGATCTGAGGATCTTATCCAGCTGTTTTCTGAAGAATGTTAGCAAACCTGCTTCAACAACATGACTTGTGCTCCAAACTCTTTTACAGCCCTGTGTGTGACGAAGTGCTTCCTAATTTTAGTCTGCTTTTTCTGCTTATGTCTTTAAATCTCAAGTATTCTTGCTTGGGGAAAAAAAGATTCAGGATTTAAAATAGTTTTTAGTCTTCTCTGTTCAAGACAAAAAAAGATTACTGTCCAGGAGATATTACTCTAAGACAAATAATTAACCTTGTTGTCCGTCTTTGACATATTGGAGGGCAGCAGGGCCTTTTTTTTTAATGAGGCAGCCGAAACTGTCCAGTGCTGTAAGGTAATGTTTTAGATACTCAGTTCTGTTATGACTCTTAGTCTCAGATATTTCCAGCTGCACAGAAATTTTTCATTTGTCGTAAATATCTTTAAAATACTTGTGGTTACAGAGCTTTAATAAAATTATTAGAGAGCTTAATATTTTACAATTATAGATTGTTGAAAATTATTTAACTTGCATGAGTCAATTGTCTCAGTCTTTCTATTAAAATAGAAAAAGCAGAAATCCTTATAAAATTAACTTGATGGGATCATGTAGTTATACGCTTAAAACAATTTCTAAAAGTTATGATTCACTTATTTTGGTACATATACATTTTAGTCATCAGGAATTTTGGGCACTTAACCTTTTCATTTACTATTCGAGTCTTGTATATTATATTGTGATTTGATTTGGAACATGTGAGTGCATATGAAGAATAGTCATCAAGACCTCAAAGATGAGTTCCCTCTGCCTTTAGATGTCCATCTTTTATTGATTAAAACTAGAATAGCAGTATTTATTTTGTTGTCTATACGTGGTATTGGCACCTAATGTTTTGAAGACAATCTCGGGGGATCCACTTAGTAGAATTGGCATGAGGGTCATAAATTTATATAGACGCGTCTCTTCCCAGATGCAGCACATCCAGAACATCTGCTGCTGTGCATCTCTTCTGAGAAGTTTCACACTATTCACACATGATTAATTAAGGGAAAATGTTTAATGCCGTATTTTACAGAACAAAAGTTTGGTTATTTTTCCTCTCTAAAGCGTGTCCTAGCCACATGTTTTAAATATAATCTGAAATAGCTTATTTATGCATTCCACATGGCAGTTTAGTTTGCACATAAAAATAACTTCATCTAAATATTGGGTTTTTATGCCAAGGGAATAGTAATGTTTGTGTACAAGTCATTGTGCAGTCCATCTGGACTACAAGAAGCCATATTGTGGTAATCTCCCTGTGAATTAAATCTGTTGATAATAGAGATGTTAACATTAAGATGAGATTAGCCAAGACATAGTGGGGATTGTAGGACTGATCGTTATTAACAAGCTTCGTGCTCTGAGAGCAAAGCATGCTAAATTCTCTCTACCAGGGGAATAAAGTTCATCTATTAGCATGAATGGGAATTTGTTAATGCAGAACTAGAGACTTCTGAGCAGAAGCTCTGGCCATGTATATTTACTATTAGGACTTAAAACGATTGTTTTGCCTTACCAATGCCTTTTAATATAAAGTTAGTGTGTTGTTAAATTTCAGCAGTTGAATTGGAAACACAATATTATGCATGTATACATCTCAGAGTAAGACTCATTTAAATAATGCCAGCCATATTTTTCATGCCAGGTCAATTATAGAATCTTGTGCTGTCATCTCGGTAATAGATTTTTTTTCCGTTTATTTCCCCTGAAATTAACTTTATTTGAGCAATCTAGGTATCGGTATAATCAAAATTGTAATAGCTTTAGGTTAGATTTATCTATTGGGGAACCATTAATGTATTTCAGAAATTACTTTTAATAGTTCCCTTTAAAAACCAGGGCTGTAGACCTTTTTAGGGTTTAAGATGACAGGATGCCTAAGACTAATAAATTAAGATATTGTCATCTCAAATGATGTTTATTGATGTATTTTTCCTCCCAAGGGCTGTGCGTCCTGGAAGTGGTATTTTCCCTTTCATTACGCCCCATTTGCATCAGACTTCAAAGACATTAAGGACATGTTCACTGAATTTGAAAGCGGTACTAAACCGGTAAGTTATGATCAAATGGGAATGGTCTTTGATCTTTTTCTTACGGTGGTTCAACCCGAGAATCTTTCTTACTCTGTTTGACAGTTTAAGCCACTGGAGCAGCTGATGGGAGTGTTTCCTGCAGCCAGTGGGAACTTCCTCCCCCAGTCATGGCAGAGACTCATGACCGAACCGGTATGCTGACCAAGTTTACAAACATGTCTTTGTTGTTGGTCCTCCAAACGAAAGACGTTAGGTGGTTTATTTTCTATCTACTGTTTGTTTGCATCCTTGGATAAAATGTTGCCAAGGTGTTTATTTTAAGCACTCTGTCCTATATTGAGAATTGATTGTTCCTCATTTTTAGCCTATTAAAACTTGAATTCAGTATTTGTGTCCATCTGAGTTATGCCTCACGTTTTTGTAATTGTTTTCGACAGGACTCCTCCATCATTGACTTTTATCCAGATGACTTTGCTATCGATTTGAACGGAAAGAAATTTGCTTGGCAAGGTTAGTATCACTCTGTGGCTTTTCCTTTTTCTTGCGGACGAATTCTCTGATTGTATTCCTTGATTTACTGAATCTTCTTTTCATTAATTGTTTTACCAGTGTGTTTATTGATTTTACTTAACTGCTTTACGTGGTCTTTGCTTTCAGGTAAAAGAGCAATCATAAGTTTAAAAAAAAGGTTGCATTATACTTGACTTGCCTTACCCAGAGCAATGTAATTAGAATTACAACCTCTTAAGCCCAGAATGAGTGCGAGAATGTTCTTTTCTGGAAATATTAGACTGCTCCTGTTTCAACTCCTTGTAAGCTGCTCGACATTTTGCCAAGTGATCTTTTAAGAGCAAAGTTTTAGAGATCCATCATGTTGCAATTCTGTCAGCGTGACAGACAATATCTTAATTTATTAGTCTTAGGCATCCTGTCATCTTAAACCCTAAAAAGGTCTACAGCCCTGGTTTTTAAAGGGAACTATTAAAAGTAATTTCTGAAATACATTAATGGTTCCCCAATAGATAAATCTAACCTAAAGCTATTACAATTTTGATTATACCGATACCTAGATTGCTCAAATAAAGTTAATTTCAGGGGAAATAAACGAAAAAAAAAATCTCTTACCGAGATGACAGCACAAGATTCTATAATTGACCTGGCATGAAAAATATGGCTGGGATTATTTAAATGAGTCTTACTCTGAGATGTATACATGCATAATATTGTGTTTCCCATTTAACTGCTGAAATTTAACAACACACTTACTTTATATTAAAAGGCATTGGTAAGGTTTCCATCTTGGTTGATGCAGGACTACCAACGGCCGTCATTGCACAGCTGCAGTTAATTGTACTGAGACTAAAATAAAACAAATGCTTAGAGGTGTGATCAAAGACAATATTTTCTTTATACCCTGTAGCATTTTTTCATATCTTTGCAATTTTGAAGCCCAGACCTGAACAAGATCGTGGTATTCAGGAGAGAGAATAGATTTTGGATCTCTCCTTAACTTTGCAGGAGTGAGAGGCTGCTGCTCAGCTTATGCTTAAATGGCAGTTTCCCAACTTAGACAACATTCTACCTAAGACGTTGAAGGCAGTGTGGGATCAAGTTGGCCCTTTAATAAAAAGTTTAATTCTGTGAACTTTTCATTACACACTGGCTCTTTTTTTATAGAAATAAAGATTATTTTTAGTTGTGCTGTTCCTTCTTAAAAAGGACCAAAACACAATACAATTTTTTCTAGCTATTCTGCTATTGCCATTATATACAAAACATTGAGGTATTGCAAAGATAGTTTCTAAGAGGCTATATAGCACATTATACATCGTCACCAGGCAGATTTCACTAAGAGCTGATTTGCTTTCAATACCACATGGTGCCTCTTCTATATTCTAGATATGGACGTCCATCAGCCAGCCTCTTGTATAAGGTTTCCAAACATGCCGTGGATGTATTCATTTACCTGGAATGGAGCAGTCAATGGACTGTTCTAGAACACTTTAGTTTTGGCCATTCATTTATGAATATGATCAGTACCTTATACAATGGTCCAGCCACTGGGATGTAGATCAGGATTAATGATATTCATTCATTTCTCATTGGGCAGTGGCACTTAACTGGACTGTTCGTTATTACCATTGTTGTGCATTCTTTTGTTAGAATTCTTTTGTTAGTGTGCACAGGCTATTAGACAAAATATCCACTTCACTACCTTTGACAAACAGGGGCACAAACATCATATTTTATGCTGTAAATTTTTAATCTTGTTTTCTTTCTTATATTTCACATTCATTTGACCATGCTTTAAACTAATATCATAACATTGGTAGTCTCTGGATATAAGATACTGATTCAAAATCAATTTGTATACCATTGAATCCCGCTATGACAATTTATATTTTGTGTTTCATTTGTGTTCAACGGTTTATACATGTCTGGACATTAAAATCTCCTGTAACTGCCAGCAGATTCATAAAGAAAATATGCTCAAGGTCGTGAATACATCTAATGCAGTTTTTGCTAAATTGTGTCCTTTACAGGCTACTCTGTAACATTTTTATGACATGATCTCGGTTATAAAAATGATGCAATATTTATAAGAAAATGTTGGAGATGGTTTCTTTTATTTTTGTGCTTCAAAAACTTTGGTAGCCTGGCTATACCTAACTTTAAATACTGCTAGTGTGTTATTCATTTGAGGGTGTTTATGACATGCTTATATTCCAGAGCATCAGCTCCATGACATCAGCTAATAACCTAAGTTTTAATAAAGATTAGATTTCAGGTTGCGTTGTCTGCTCTGAAGGGGAGGGACTCCCTTCATATGGGCGCAGTCATTTTACATTTGGAAGAAACTCAACTGCTTTTTTGGAAGCTCCTTGAAATTTCATAGTCTTTTCATTACTTTGTAAATTTCTCTTAATAACAGGCTCTCAACTCTAAACCTGGTCCAAACTCGTTCATATTCTTGGTGACATCTTTGACTGATAGAGGCCTTTCAGGCACAGGACGCTAGAAGGGTTTATGTGCTCATAGGGGTTTTCCTGTTTCATGCATCCCGGACTCTGCTCAGCCCTTCACACCCATGGGACACTGTGCTACCCTCCAAGCCAGTGACTGATCCGACTGTTTAATCAGTCGCCACAACTGGATGCTTTTCCTCATGTGAACTCGGTCCCTTCACAGTTACCATTACAAGGGATTCAAGCCAAGGCAAGCTGGTCACACTGATTGTGCAGTGTGGGCCAAAGCTTCATCTTCTAAAGACCAAAAACTGCATTAGATGTATTCACGACCTTTATCTCTCTGTCTCTTAAAGACCAAGTGTGCTAGCTAATCCATTTGATTATACCATACTGACAGTTTCCGGTGAAGGTTATAATTAATCTGCACTATCAAAGATCATGTGATCAGGTGTACCTGGTACCCATCTATGTTTAATAAAATAATTTGGGGGGTGCCTGTTTCCTTCCAACAATACATTTTACAAGGTTATTTGGAGACAGAGATTATTGTAAATCTACCTGGAAATGAATTTTATTGACACAGCTGTGTACCAGGAAAGCTAGATTTACCTTGTACTGGTGCATACATTGTCAGTACTTAGATTATTTTTCTTATCTTTATACTTTACTCACTTTACACTGTTTTATTAGAGATCCCCTCCCCCAATTGTTTGTATCTCAATTCCAATATGACTAAAAACTTTAAAGCAGTCTCAGAGTTTTCTATGTCTTTTGTAATATTATTTTCCAAGTCGCATTTCTTACTCTTTTATGCATAAAGGCGTTGCTCTGCTGCCATTTGTTGATGAGCGTCGACTGAGAGCTGCCCTGGAAGAGGTCTACCCTGACCTCACTCCTGATGAAAGTAAGCATTATGATTCTTCATGATGTTGAGCCTGCTTTCATTAAGGTTTTCAGCATTAATGTGCTTGTTTAATGTTCAGCTAAATCTCAAAAGAACCGTCTTTAATAGGTGGCTGCCATTAATTGTTACACTGAAGAAGCATTTGCTTGGTGAATGTTTTAATGATAAACTTAATAGAAGTAATATCACTAAAGAGATCTAATGTGGCCTTCAGCTGAGTTAGCATTCATAAGAACTAAGACTTCATTGACCTTGGCGACACTCGTTTTATGCTGAAATACACGCATTTTCCTGTTTGACTGCCCCTTCAGTGTTGCTTTGGTCACCATTTATCTAACTTCTTTTTTGCAGTTCAGAGGAACAGTCTTGGTAGTGATCTGCTGTTTGTGGGAAGGTCCCATCCCCTTTCAGACTTTTTAAAGGAGTTATATCAAACAAATTCAGAAGAGGTAAAAACTGGAATCTGTTTAAAATGATACAGTACTTTTTTTTTCTAATTATGTAGATGCTGAAATTGTTTAATTTTTTAGAGTGTGGAGATGTCTCCAGAGCTGTGTCATGGGATCTCTGGAACTCTCACTTTGGATGAAGACCCAGTTCTTCCAGATAAGTAAGGACCATCTTATGACTTAATATTTATAATGCACCATTGCTAATTTTCTTAAAAAGGTACACCAAAAGGATGGCCTAACAGTCTTGTTTCATCTTATTTTAGGCCAGTGCGATCCCCCATTCCAGTGTTGCGAGATGTTGTTGAAAACAGTGCAATAGGGTAAGGATTCGTTGCTTGTTTTTTTTAGATGAAACTGTTGCATTAAAACTTGTTCAGGGTTTCTACACAATAGGAAGTTGTGGACCCCTCTGACCTTTCTGTGCTATCAGTGAGGGCTGGCCAGTATCTTAAACTTGTTTTCTGTGCTTTGGAATAAGACTGGAAAAATGGAGATTCTCTGAAATGTACAGTCACTTTATGTATCAAGGTTCTTTGTTTCTCTTTTATGTTCCTTCTGTAGTTGACAGGGTGATTAGAGTTGGGCATTTGTATTTTTACAAGTTATATAGGGACGACAAAATGGGGGAATTTGGGATTTAAAAAAAACAGCATGATGGATTAGATTTCAGTTTTCATTGCCATTAAAATGCTAGCATACCTGTCCCAAACTATGTGCCTTGTTTATGAATTTTTATTTGTAAGTGAATGAATACAGACACATCTAGCTCTGATTAAAATTGATTGTTATGCATGCATTTTAATGTTTAGCCAAAAAAATGGTGTGATAATCCTATAGATGTCTTGCTTTACATTTGTTAATTGTGTTTAATAATTTTGTAAGCAATTTACTTGTTTTCTGTGTGTGTGCGTAATATGCTTTGTGCTGTTGCTGTAATATATTAAAGCTTTGGAAACAATAGCGACAACAAAGGCCAGACCTTAAGAGGACAGTAGTTATTACCTCTAAATAGCTCTGCATTCATTCATTGTTTTTCTGAATCATATCTTGCCAACAACCAGGTAGTATCTGGTATTGACAATGTAGGTCAGTGGCAGGTATGTTGTTAACTATTGAGCTGCACCCAGGGATTATGTTTTTTCAGACAGTTTCAGAAAGATTCTTAAATTTGTAGTCCCCAGTCTTTTTAAACAAGATCTAGATTATAAGTAGCACTCGCCAATTAGTGTGACACCTGTGACTGTACTCTGTCTGTCTTTGCCAGTCTCTTACAGTCTATCAGATGACATCTCTAACACAAGTCCTGTATTTGGATTTGGCAAGCCATTGAGGTCTGTGGTATGCACAGGATGTCAGAAGTGGATAGGTCCTAGGTTTCAGCTTTAAGTTTCTATCTCCATGTCAAGTCCCCTGCTTTGCTTAATTACCTGCTGACAGTTTGCTGTCAATTCATGTCCACCTAAAGGGCTTAAGAGACGCATAATTGGTCTGCCAAGTCCATCTTGTGTAAATTTTTTACTCCTGTTTGTTCAGAATTCACAGTATTTTTGGACAGAAGCCTTTCTCTTTGACATTTTGTGAGATATTCTGCAGATTTTGGAAGTGCTCTGTTGTTCTGTTGTTTTTAACTGTGAAGACCACAGACCTAGATTCATCATGTGTGAGACGTCTCTATCTACCCCTGCAGTTTGCAGATTAGTTCATTCAACTGTTCATTTGCTGTTCTGTCTGTAAGAATCCCCAGATTCCCCAGATTCTTACAGAATTCCTGTTCTGAGTGGAGGTTTAGAAAAGAGGAATGGTGTTTTCCAACTGATTTGTATCTCACTTCTTAGTGGAATCATGAATCATGGTGTAAAATGTTTTTTGCTTTCATTTGACTTGTGATGCCAGTGCAAAGTTCCATTTTTTGTCTTGAGGCTAAATTCTTTTGGCTAATGAGTCAAATACTCATCTTTAAAATTGCTACTCATTCATCATCTATGCTTTACATTAATTATTCTTATTCTGAATTATTAATCTTTGAAAAATGTTAAAAAATCAAAACTCAAATTTTGACAACAGCGGCAATCGTGAGAAACCAGTAGTCAGTACAGTGGTTGCCTCATAGATGGATAATTTGTTGTTTTAAACATAAGTGTTTAATTGGCCTGTACGCTGAAATGTAGCCTTTTTTTAAACTATCTGGGATTTTTGCACTTGAAACCCACAGTCAGAGTTTTAACTCCAACTACCCGTTCAGAAGCTTGTCTTTTCCTCATTAGGCTTTTATTTTTCTCAATGTTAAGATCAACTATCAACTATTCAAGCCACCAAGATCGACAGTTTTTTGCCTGTACCTTTTGATGTCTAGTCTTTTTGAGAGCAGATGTATGGATTTGGCTAGCCTTTAACATTGTCCTTTAGTTAGTCAAAAGATATAACCAAAAACTTCACTTATAATTTGCAATATTGAGGGACTTTGTGAAATTTAAACTTTAATCTTTTTATTGCACCATTCTGATTAATTTCATTTTGTTTTAGAGGATTAAAATATACCTGCATTTACATTTTTTATTTGTAAGTTTTTCCAGTTTTCTTCATAAATCTTTCTTGCCTTAAATTCCTATAAATAATTAATCTTGTCTTCACAGAATTAAATTCAAGGATCCACAATATAAAGAGGGTTTTGTGTTTAAGGCGACAGTCCTCCCAGGAGCGAAGTAAGGATTTTTTTTTTAATTTTAGGTAAACCATTTTACAAAGCAGTCAAAACTATCTGTGGGGCCAGCTGCATGGAGAACCCAGATTAAACTCCTTGTCGGGAAGCAATTAAAAAGTTAGACAACAGTTAAAAGCATAGAATTTAAATAGAAAAAACAGTCATAAGACTTCTTTTAGGTTATTATGTGCGATTTTGGTAACCAGACACATTCCTGGGATTAGAGCAGTGGTTCCTAATCCTGTTCCTTGTGACCCACACACCTTCTGGTGTTCATTACATCCCACCTTAATTAGATAATTGAAGCCTTAATTGATCTAAAAAGTAGCTTCATTGGAATATTTGCGCTCTGTTTCTAGTCATACGTTTGGGATTTTACTTCTCTTACAAGATACAACAATTAAAGCTCTCGCATGTTTCAGAGATGGGAACAAACAGTTCAAATTAATTTTATTATTATTAGGTCAGTGAAGGGTTTGATGGTGTAACTGAGGGCTCGTCTGGAACAAGAACCAACAGGTGTGTGAATCACCAGCACCATGATAGGGAACCACTTGTTTTAAGAAATGTCCTCAATCAGCAGGCTAAAGAACAGAAACGTTATAGTCTTGAACAGAGAAGACTACAAGGAGAAGTGGGAGAAGTGATCTAAGTGTTTAAAATCCTCAAAGGCACTGACAAAGTCAACCCAGTGAATTTCTTCAGAATGAACAGTGTAATACAAGCCAGACGGCACCCAAGGAAATTACGTGGAAGGTTATTTAAAACCTAAGGACAGGAGGAACATCTTTACACAGAGGGTAATGGGAGTATGGAGCAAGTTACCCAGCCATGTTTTTGTAAATTGATACCCCTGTTTCTTTCAAGAAGCTGGTCAATAAGATCCTTGGATCAATTAAGTACTAAGTACCTTACGGGCTAGATGGCCAGGATGGCTTCCTCTTGTCCAGAACATTTTTTAAGATCTTAAATTGTAAATCGCATATTACATGACTTCATCATCTGACTAATGTGAACGGTGACGATAGTTGTCTTCAGTAAGATGACATCAGTGCTGTTTAAAGTTTAAATGCCTTTTTTTATTTTGCCTTGAAGGTGTTTTATGGATTTTGCTCTTAATTTATCTGATAGTTGTGTAAATTTGCAAATAGCAGTTCTATGAAGTGTGATCCTTGACCAACTGTTTTTTACACGTCCTTTAAGAATACCTGCTAAAGTCCTCAAACCTGGGGACTGGGAAAAGTCCAACCGCGGTCCTTGGAGACCTCAGCTTGGATTTAACCCAGACAGACGGCCAGCCCACTTGGATCAGTCTGCATTCAGAGCATTAAGGTATGGATCTCACGGAACGGTTAAGTGAACAGCTGAATATACGCTTTCTTCTTAACATTCTCCAGACAGCAAGACTTTGCTCTGATATTTGCCCTATATTTGTTTCTGAATACAGAAATTCAAAATTCTTCATCTCCCAGTATCTCAAATCTAGGTCAAATATAGTCTGAAAATGGTGTTTAATACCTTCGGTACTTTCGTTGTTGAAGTAGAAGTGTTTTCTGCCTTGGTTCCTTGCCTTGTTGTGTTGTTGGAACTGTATTGCCCTGGTCTGTGATGATGGTCATTTCCAAGCGGATTTTCCAGTCCCTGTGTTTTTGGTGCATGATTGTATGGGTGCCTGATGTCCATCTGCCCCTCCTGTTATGGAAAATTGGAGTCAGTGCTGCACTGGACACCTCAAGCCTGTGCAGCAGAGCGCAAGGCCCCATGGCCTTCTCCATCTCTTTACACTTTAGAGGGAAATTTGTGCATCTACGTGCGTTAGATGGAGCATAATACTTTGTATTATATATAGGTAACTTATATTTTTTGTTACATCATCCCAACATCCTGTCCCAGTGGCCTGCTTGCCTCCCGGGAATGATTGGATGCTTGCAAGGGGGCCAGTGAGCCAAGCTGCTACTAGTTTCCCTGAGCTGCCAGTTGAAACGCTGTGGCTGAAGTGCTTCACCCACTGATGAGGTCAGGGACCGGGGTGACAGTAAAAAAGTGTCCACCCCCGTCTCTGATCCTGTCTGCTTTCAGGGACACATTTTAGGGAATTAAAACATAAAAACATGTTGTTGAAGCAAAAAGGTACACAGCCCTCCAGGAGTCCTTCATACAATTACGTTGTTTGGTTATATCCTCGCCAAAAGAAAACAAATTTTCATAATTCCGCTCAGTCACTCACACCTGAAGAAGGGTTCTCATCGGATTTCTTTTCTTTCTTCTTTTCAGTATAGAATGTGTTTGGTGCGGCTCACACATAGACATAATTCCCCTCCATGTCCACCTTAAGTTGTATCAGAAATAATTGGGGTTAAGTTAAAGATAATTTATGTTTGGCCTGTGTGATAACAGTGCATGTAGTGCTTTCTGTCAGAGGTGGTTAACCTGTAAACTCTTAACGGTATAAAGGTAAAAAATTCAAGCATCAATTTTCACATGTATATTGTAGTGATAACTTAATAACAAATGAAAATAGAAAAACTTGTTCTAAATTAAATTGAGGACTGGCATCACAGGAATGGCCCCCTGCATTAGTTAGTGCTGCGTTTGTGCCGTTGAAAGTAACTTGCCAGCTGCTTTCGTTCCTGAGATATAGCGCCTTGTTTTTCGGGTGATCG